GGTGCAAATTTGCAAAACGCAAAATTTGGTGCATATGGCAGAACGGAAAGTTTGGTGCAAAATGGCAGAACGGAGAATTTGGTGCAAAATGGCAGAACGGAATTTAGTGCACGCAGTGCGCAAGGGCGCAAGAGCGTCACGTGGTCTTGTAAAAGGGCGTAACGAGTGGAGCTTCGTGGTCAGCTACTTTGCATTTGTTTTCTCTGAGATTGAATAAGTTACTTCCCAGGCTTGTCGCAATGCCTGAGCTACGTGCCCGTATCAAAAGCAAATTGCTGGCCCTCGGCACTCGCGACAGGAAAAATGACTCACAAGCGTTTGAGGCTGGGGTGCGTGCTTGTCTAGGCGACGCCGCGCCTCTCCAAGACGCCCCTTTTGGGTTGAAACTGGCAATCATATATCGAGCCCCCTTGACGCATATCAACTACTTCGTCAGCGACCCAGAGACGTTTTTAAGATATTGCGGCAAGGTGCAACTGACAGAAAATGTAGAACGTCTATATACATCTGTACTTCGCCGTCTCCAAAGCGATGACAATGACGTATCAAGATCAGCCACGAAAGACATCGCATCTGGTATGTGGCAGTCAATATGCTCTATGTACTCAGTTCTCATCGAAATAGAATACACTCGTTTTAGGGAGGGCCACATGGACAACAGTGGAACCTCGCCAAAGTCACCATATGATCAAGCCCGAGCAGACTGGGGCAGCAGTAGCACCAGTAAGAAACCTGTACTACTATCAATGGCAAATATCTTGCTTAACAACCTAGCACACCCCGCCACGGTAAAGAAATCCACTCAGCGACATAAAGTGTCAGGAAACTCGCCAACTACGATTTGCACAGGGGCAAACGAAAAGACGGATAACGAACTCTCGTCAGCAATCGCTGGGTTTTGTAGCACCATGGGTGTCACCATCCACGGCACTGTCAGTCCACACTCGTGGATCAGCGTGTTATCTGCTGCGACGGCTTGTTCAAACAATGAACCACAGCGTGTGATTCCTCCCTTGGGAATTATTGCATTTGGCAATCTACTGCGGCAGTTCGAAGGCTTAAGGCCAGGAGAAATGAGCATCATTGACCCTAGCGCCGCCGTTAAATCTGTGCGAGTTCGCCAACAAGGCCTAGGGAAGTTAGTGTTGCCCTTTACGCACGGAAGATCCTGGGCTTTCGCTATAATTACCAAGGATCGTTCCCGAGCAACTATCTACACGCTGAAATCAAGTGGTCTCGGGGCGGTGAAGACCGAATTTACACGAATCTATAAGAAACTCTTCGATCGCAGACCCGTTCCGATCCAGCCAGAAGTACGTAAGGCGTGGCTTTCAGATCGCAGCTTGTGCTTCCTACTCGTCGCTTTCGCCGCAGCGATGGACGTGGAACCAAACGCTCCAGTATCTGTTCAACTCTGGCACGGCCTTTTCCATCAAATGGCACAGACAAGCGTGTCGACTCCTCATGTGCTATGGCTTGGCAGCGAGGTTGTTGCACATATCGAGACAACGGAGCATATCAGTGCCGAATTGAGCCACCCTGATCTGGAGATTATGAGCAGAGACTCTCTTCAATGTGCTTCTCGGGATATGGTAGGTTTTCTGGCTACTCAACTGGGGTGTTCATTTGTCCAGCAACTGGATGATGACAGTTTTGTTATCCACCAAGCGGTCTTGATGATGCTTCTCGCCGCGGGATACAGCTCCTCCACTGTTGAACTGTGCAAGTGGCCAATCAAGGTCAAAGACCTGATAGCATTGATTCAGATGGCCAAACCCTCCCGATTGGTCGTAGTACTCTCGGACTCTGGCTTTGACGCTGACAATTCATGGAACGACCTGTTTGAGGCGCTGCGCTTTTTTGACGGTTCACAAATGGAAGTGTCTGTCTATCCGAGCTCTTCGGAGCTGGCGTGGTCGCGGCATAAGCTTGGAGACATCCGAACTTTTGATGCGATAGCGAAGTCCGAGCAGCAATGGCGGCCCCAGACATGCTTTGGTCTCGGCGATTGTTCCCTATTGAGTGGTAGCCAGGTGATCAAAAGAAACTACAGTTGCGCCGCACAAGACGTTGAGATCATGACCACCAGAGATCAGGACAGATTAATGTGCACCGTTCCTTCTGATAACGATCGCGCGTGTGGAAAGAGATCCGCAGGAGGCGAGGCTCTGGGACCCATTTACTTTCATCAAGAGGCAGTCCCTACCTTGCAAAGCTTCGGCGAGTTTCGAGTCTTCGTTTCGGCGGGCAAGGTGACGTACATTCTTCGAACCAGGTTTCAATGGGAAAAACCTGATAGACCAATGTTGGCGTGGAAAGCTCGGTTGGAAGATTTTAAGTGGTTTTCATCACAGGAGGCGGCACAAGCGAGGAAGCTCGCGGAGCTCGAGCACTTTGTCTTAGACCTAGACAGACTCATCCGGCAGAAGAATGATGGGGGATTCGAGTCCATCCATATTGGAGGACGCTACGACTGCGGAATCACGGAAGAGAGCCCCAAAGGAGAGTTCTTCGTGAATGAGCTGACACGTCCGCTCTCGGCCGCCACGTTCCCCCGTACGTGTCCTTTTCCATGCACTGATATTTTGCGGCCGTGGGCACAGGCTGTGGCACAAATCGCCGCCCTACCAGTCCCTCCTAGTGATTGAGGCTGATATCAGCTCCTGAATGGATGGTTTTTCACCACGTATGCCATCGTACCCGGTTAGGATTTAGATAGTAGTCTGCTCAATCTAGGAGAAGCTTTGTATTCTCAAGGCCATTCCTCACGATTCGAGGATATTTGAACTTATAGGACGCTGCCAATGCTACACAGTATAGGCGTAAACCATCTTCATGTTCCCCCCGCGCTGCTCCCAAGTTGCGCTCTTATGTCTTGCGTTTTCTCTAGACTGTTTTCGACATCGACAGAACCCGGAAAACCTAGAAAGGTTGACACACTTAACCCCGCAGCAAACTCTATGCCAAATCTTGATACAAATGCGTGCCGTGACAATTAGTTTTGGTCCGTAATGCGCGCCTTCGACTTTTTGAAGGGCTTGTTTTGCGTTGGCCTTGCTGGCCGCTTCCCAGCTCTCACCACTCGAGGCACGGGTGCCTGCCTGTTGAGATTCATTCCTCCTGAGTTTGACTGTGGTACCATTTCCGTTCCCTTTGCGCTAGTTTGGGGCGCTTCATTTCCAGCAGTCATGGCAGCCGCACCGTCGTCGTCGACTTGCTCTCTGATATTGTCAGGAGCTATAGCCGAAGCATGCTGTTCATCCTCTTGAAGCAAATTTCCGGAGCCACGACGCTGCAGAGTCTCGGGGCCTGTTTCAGGGGATTTCTCACTATTGCCAGGGTTAGGAGAAGTACGCTGGGCATGAGAGACATCCTCGCCAGACACACTCGAAGAGTCGCCGTTCATGGAAGCCTCCGGCCCTGAGATTATGTCCGGACTCTTCACCGATTCACCGTCCAAACGGCGAGCTGTTACGTCTCTATACTTCTCGATGATTCCGGCTCCAGGAAAAGTTTGCTGTGGAACGACTGTCAATTCGTCCGTCAAATCTTTAATTGTTGCTTTCGCAATAAAGCTTCCTTGACCATGAATTTCGAGATCGACATTGATCTTAGTCCCACGTTTGCAATTTGGAATATCGGAGATTGTCATCGCTGCAATGCGTGTATTGTCGTCTGGATTGGAGCTCTCACCCTCGAGAAAGGAGATCTCGATGGCAGACTGATTATCCTTTCTTGTGAAAAGGTTCAGCCTTTCTCTAGCAGGAACGCGCATGTTGCGGCTCGCAACCTGCTGAACAGTGTAATTCGAGGTGTCTGAGTCCGAATCGTTTACCTCGACGCCGATTGATCGTGAGAGAACATCATGAACGACGATGGTGTCCTTGCGTTTGGCAATTTGCTCCGCGCCCCGCGCCGGGCTTTCCGAAGCATCCCGGACAAGCTTGATCACCGTCTCTGGAAACTTCCTCACGCATAGCTCTTTGATGCATGGCATTTGGGATGCGCCTCCAGCAAGGAGAACAGCGGCAAGAGATCTGTTGGCCTTGGCGGCTGGAAGTCTGTCAATAAGCCCCGATATTTCTGTGAGTAGATCTGCGCATGCCTTCTCAAACTCATCACGAGTTACAGTGATGAACTTGCTAACCGTGCTTTGGTCAGTCGCGATCAACTCGATTTCGGCGGAAGCGGCGCCTGTCAAGGTCTCCATGGCATTTTCGCACACGATGAGAAGCTTTTGTTCGTCAAATGCGTATGTGTGGCCCGCGTCGCGTGCTTTGTCTGTCACAAAGGTATAGAGACGTTGCTTGAAGTCGACACCTCCAAGAAAATTATCGCCTTCGATGGCTTGGATCACATATACATGCTTCTCGCCCGTCAGGTCATAGTATAACTCAGTGATATCGGTAGTACCGCCACCGATATCAATGACCCCAAGCCTCGACTTGGCGGGGTACTTCTTCTTGGTGCCATAGTCATGCTCAATCTGATCAACCGCCACGGCCACCGGCTCAGTAACGAGATGGGTACTTTCCATATCGAAGCCGGCAATCTTCGCCGCAGCGCGAATGGCTTCGCATTGATTGATTCCGAAGTATGCGGGCACCGTCAAAACAGACCTTCGTGGAGGCTCGCCAAACTTGCGTTCCGCTGCCCGTTTCGCGCTGCCCAAAATGAATGCCCACACCTCGAAGAGCTCTACACGGCGCCCACCAGCTTCGTAGTATGCACCATTTTCGTCGAGTTTAGCGTGCGGGACCCTGGCAGTGTCATGGCGCAACCTTCCGTCCCTTGGCGACCTGCCGATAAGACGTTTGCAAAGTGCGAGGTCAGGTTTTTGAACGCTGGGCAACTGTGCACGGCTAGGAATGGCAAACGATCCCCTCGGCGATATGCGAACAACCGAGTCAGAAGTTGGAAAGCCGTACTGCATTGCGACAGGTTTTCCTCCTGCATAGATGCAAGTCTTGTATGTCCCGGCGTCCAGGCCAAGGTCGTAGCGGTCCGACTAGCCTCAGGGTGTCAGTGAGCCGCCAAAGAGGTGGCGAGCACGAATACATACCATGATGAGAAACGATGACTAGTGATTTCAACGTAAAGAAGTGCCTTTGCTAGAGTCTTGTCGTCACGTCCACCCGAGACTTAACCGAGAAGAGCCCCCACTCGCGACGCAAGCCAAACCTCAATCCTCTCTCTATTTACGCGAACCGCGCCTCTTTTATTATCCCATCATACAATCATGCCTTTACCACCCCAATTAGACATCTGCGATGTTCTTTGCTTGACCAAAAAGGGTGAGCCGCCAATATCTTGCAGAGTTGCGCCGCGCGACGAGTCTCAAGAGGAGCGTTTTCGAGGGCACATCCATCATGTCACATCCACTTGTGACGCGACGCGGGTGATCGACATCAACACCATAACCAACTTTCTTTTCGCTGAACCAGAAGAAGAATTGATACTGCGTTTAAAACAAATGTTAAAGAAAAGCAAAGGAAAGAACAGCTGGAGATGCTGTTCCGAGGTCTCACCAAGTTGCGATCTGGACGCGTCCAATGTACGTTTGTCTCACCATTTTCGCGAATAACATTAACATTGTGGATCCAGGCTTCCACTGTAATAGGGAAGAGGAAACGGCCGACGAGCCTTGTGCCACGGCAGACTAAGGCGGCTCGTGGAGGTCGTGCGAGAGCGAGCGAAAGAACAAAAAGGCAATCTGAAGAAGCGCCGTGCGATTCCGACTTGTCCATGCTGCAATACGTTAAAAATCATAGAATGGTCGACAGCGCGCATCGCCATATTCAATTATGCTGTCACCTCAAAGACGGGACCGATGTCTGGCTACGGGAGTCGACTGTTCAGAAGGCCTCCAATGCAGCTGTCTGCACGTACTGGGGGTGCGGCCCTGGAGAGGAATGGAAGCGTCCTGGGACGGAGAGCGTGCTTGACAGCATCTCGCCAGAGCCTCTCAAGATCATGGCCTACCGTAAGAATGCTGCAGAGGTTCGCCTACAGATGGTAGGCTCTCCTGCATCTCAAAAGCAATGGATGTCTGTTGAGGACGTCAAGGCTCAATGGCCCACTTTCTACGAGGAAAATTGCGCTCATGCGCCGTCGTCGCCGTCGGCACAAACGACGATGCACATCCAGGGACCAGGCTCGGAGGAACGCGATCTGCAGACAATCGTCGGCCATCGCCTGCAGGAGGACGATGAGGGTGGCGGTTCTCAGTTCCAGCTATCCTGCCAATGGGACTCGGGTCCCGAGACGTGGGAAGATGAAGTAAAAATCCAGAGTGCTTGGAACGCCGCCGTTCTGACATACTGGAACAGCGAGCCAGGGCTCCGCACTTCGCAGGCTGAGGGCAAGGTTCCGCATCGATATCTGCGCATACAGTCACATGACGAGCCGAATCGCACAATGGAGGTGCAGTGGTTGGGCTACTCTGCATGCGCGGATGAAACCTCCTGGGAAAGCTTCTCCAAAGTCAAAGAGAAATGGTCCTCTGCATTCGAAAGCTATGTCAAATTACACTCCCTAGAGTCACTCCTCCACTCATAGAGCCTCCTTTTGCCTCAACCAGGCAAGGCCTAAACAAGACGATCAACAGGGAAATTGAATATGCGAGGAAGAGGCGGCTTTCGAGGAAAAAGATCGCGGCGCAATGCTCGGTGCGGTCAGTCACGGCGTGCCGGCCTGTCAACACACAGGCCCGACACTGAGCTTCTCAGGAGAGTCAGAAACGCACGTGTTGCCATTGCTTCAGTGTCAGCTTGTAGTGACCTAAATATGTAAATTAGTCATACTCGTAATATACAGCACAGCGTCCATCGAATATCACCAGCACTGGATTTACCAGGATCACGCAACGACTCAGAGTTCTCGGTGTTACTGTACGAGACTAAACATGTCCTTCGACCGACTTGGAGTTATGATCACACCTCCACAAGTCACTATTGTGGCCAAGAGAGGCGTAGTTTCTTCGTTGGAGCCGTTTCTGCATATTTAATTTCCTCTGGTCGTGTCCGGAGAGAGTGTGCGCTCTGAATGGATGTACGTGGATCCATTCGAAATGCTTCTTGACTCCACGCAACACAATCGCATCTTAGGATCGAATTGAAAGTAGCTACAAGTAGCGTTTATACCTCGCAAGAAATTCCACGACTCTGTATCCCAGGATTTCACAGCGGACACCAGTATCGAACTGACTATGTCCCGCAAAAAAAGCAGTGACACCTGGCTGTGGAAGACCAAAGCCAAAGCCTGCATCGAGTATGACCGTTTCCCCGTTAGAGGTTACCATTTTCAGAAAAGGGTTTTATGCTGCAGTATTCATCCGCTCTAGTAGGCGTGGTATTGTTCCATGAATATAACATGTTGGCCTATTTGACAATATAGTAACGAAACTGTCAGATATTTGGCTATGCTGCTCCTTGGCGGCAGTATCAGCCATTCCGGAAGATTCAAGTGCTTGTGCCATCGCGGCTATGCTTACGTTATTCTCAAGCGGGTAGCTAGCACGTGGACTTGGGCTTTTTTAACACACTCGAGAGTGGAGAGCAAGGGGCTTGATTCGCGATCGCCTCCTCAAAGGGTTGAGACATTCCGAATCCAGAGTGGTCGAGAACGCTAGGCTTAGAACCATATTCTTTTCGCGTCTCTGGTTCGCCCTTGACGTCCTCGGCATGGTAGATTGATCGGCAGTTAGCGCGGGATTATGTATTACTATGAAGGGCGGAATATGAGACGAGAGAAATAATTTTGTCAGATTAACAAACGGGCACTAGTTACTATCACGTCAACTTTTCATCAAGTCTGTCGGTTTGTCCCGCTCACATTATTATTACGTCAGTCTGCGGTGGATCATAAACATTGTACTGCATTGTAAAATCTTGTGGAATAGTACTGACAGTTTTAAACCACGGTTCTGTGCTAAAAAAGGAAGTCTGACCCTTCATCACAGTGCCCTGCCTTGCATCCCTCGCAAAGATGTCGATAATGCGGACCCTTACTGACCCCTGAGAATGGGCGAGGTTCCACATGCATTCCCGACCATTTCTTGAGACGATAAGCGACCCTGTCAGCGTAGGAATCGTCGAGTTTCGGCTTGCTCAGCCAGTTGCACTTCAAACAGCGCTGATGGTACACTTCTGCGTTGTACTCATTTCCAGGGAACTGACGTATGGTGACTGCTATCTTCTTGCTGGTCCAGCCGTCGGCAATACAATTCTTGTTTGCACATGTGAATCTGCCCATTATATGACTATCGTACGAGTTCGTGTGATTCTTCTTATCGCCATTTTTTCGGAAATTAAATTTGAGACCGTTGCTCTCTAGGCGGGTTTGGACATCATCGTGTAAGCCGGGGTACATTGACGATGTACCGGGGTGAGAGCGAGGCATAGTGACGTTTTGGGGGTAATGAAACCACTTTGCGAGTGTTTTTAACTTGGAATATGATGATTGGGATGCGGCATCAATCCTTGAGGAGGGCTTGGTCTGGCGGGAGCTCGTTCTCTTGCTCCTCTCGAGAGCCGTGGCATGGATCGTGACACGCCAAAACCGTCGCAGCGAGCTTGAGTAGTTGCCATCTCCTCGCTTTTATAAAGTTCCAATTTCCTTGGCTGCCTAATGCCTAGGTGGGAGAGCCGTTAGGCGCTGAGATCGGCGGTGCTTTGGCCCATCTCAGCGACCTGCCTGCATGCAGCGGTTAGTGGTAGGCCTCACCAGCCTTGAGCCAAAGTACATTAAATGATAAGTGTCGACAGCCCGTAGCCGAGACTTCGAATGTTTCGAGCGATCTTTTATACCAGTCATCGCATCGTGCAGTGTTATTCCAGCAGCTATGGATTGTGACGCTGTTGCCGATGGTGATGGTGATGGTGATGACGCAGTTGCCACCATTGATCCTCGCCTCCTCGTTTTTGTGCCACCCGTGAACTCAAGTACGTTCGAATCGCACGAAAATTTTGAGCATGAACAAGACCAGGGTAACACCGGTCTTACTTGGGAAACGACTGGAGAGATGAATGTCGCAAACATGCATTCCTGAGATGTTCCCATTGCGTCAACTTCTCACCAACGTTTTCTCCCATCTGCCGCTCAGGACTACTGCGAAGTGCCCGTTTGGCTTCACGAGGGGTCACACATCAAATTAATCAAAGAAGGCAATCTAATCGACTATATAAACAATTTTTCCGCTTCTCTGGAGCTCAAAAAAACCAATGGATGGAGATTCCCGGAATATGTTATGCCGTGGGATGGTCAACAACATATTGGGGCTGGAGGCCTTTATCACTGCCCCGAGCCGCAGTGCACCTCATCACCGTTTCAGCTTTCTTGTGATCTCCGGTGCGTCTTCTTATTGGCTGCTTTTTTTTTTTTGGTGAAGATTTTGTTCATCTACTGACACTCATGATTTTAAAGTCATCACTTCAAGAACCACTACAGGCCAGTCTCCTGTCCCATCCAAACTTGCGAGTATCGATCTGGTGAGCAAAGAGAAATGAAGCGACATTTTCAAGAGATACACGCACCCCATACTATCAAGTGGCATTTCTGTCCGTATCCAAACTGTGGGAGTCAATTTGCACGCGGCGAGTATGTGAAACGACACATCAAGGCGTTGCATCCAAACTTTTCCGCTGGTAGTTAACGGCCGGTCATATTTAGTGCTTCTAATTGATACTAGTCAATCTGCCAAAACTTAAGTACTACCTCTCTTCAGCTTATAGTGATGCGCCGCCTTCCTCGTCTGAATTATCCTCGTCTAAGTCATCCTCGTCATGGGGCTGATATCCTTCCAGCCCACTGCTTCTCAGAGAGGCACTACTCTCATTAAAAGCATGACCGATTTCATGTAGTAATTCCCCCTCTGGGCTCGACCCAACCCTATAATTAACATCAGACGCATATAACACGACATGATTGTCACCTTTACTGGCCACTATATCATCCTCCAAACCATGCAGTGACATCTCCAAAGTCGAGACGCCGGTTGTCGAATCCGGGTGCCACTCTGGAGGGACATTTCTTCCCCACAGATGATCAACAACTTCATCTCTTACAGTCTTTGTAATTTTGATCATCAAATCCCGCTGCCTATCTGAATCCGCATCTTTTTTCTTGAAATTCTCAATCAAAGGCGGTCCCCAGTTAGGATACACCTTCCCGTGTGATTCTGGAACGACCATCCTTGCCGGGTGCTCCGCAAAGTAAAGCTTGCAAGCGAAACAAGCCGGTTTGCTGCAGTAGACATAGCGATCTCCTTCAAGGAATTTGAGTTTATACTTGTAGAAATGTTCCAAGACGGAGACCTCGCTGTGCACAAACGGATTACACTCGCGTTCACAGTCCATATATCTTGTCAATGGTTTGCGCCACGTTTCTTGCAAGTCCACCAACGCCTGCTCTGCATTGGCGACATCTAGATCATCTTTCGGGAACATGCGGCGCAAAATCGCAGGCAGGGTTGTCTGCGAATCTGCTTCTGGCTTCGGTGCACACGGGCTCTGCTCGATGACCTCGACTTTAGCGCTCTGCAATATGTCCTGCATGAGCGCTGCGTTTAGAAGCAGCAAGAGAGGCTTGTGGATTCGACTAGCTAGGCGCCCGATGGAGTGCCTTACTCTGGCAAAGCATCCATTCTCGTCGCCTGAGAATTTTTGATCCACATACCAGTTTTTCTCCAGCTTTTCTTCCTCATAGAGTTTTCTCATCAGTGCTGACTTGGACGTCCGGTACATGGCAACGCAGGTGTTGACGTGGCCAGACTCATTGTCACGACAATGCGCCAGAAGCAACCTAAGCCCCTCAACGTGCGCATCATCTTTCATCAAATTAGTTTGGCTGTGCTGTAGCGCGAGAAAATTATGCGTCGTAATTTACTCACTATTTCGGTTGCTCTTATTCGCCATCTTCTCGATGCAAGCCGGAATGGCCGCCTTCACATCGTTTATATATGCCGAAACACGCTTTTTCGCATGCTCTATACACTTCCTGAGAAACTTTTGTACTATTCTCTTCTTCTTTTTATTGTCCGCCGTTATGGCATATTCGACCAGCGTACCGATCGAGCGCTCCAGCATAATCTTGCACTTCCTTGGAGAAGGAGAGGCCAAGCAAAAGACATAGGCACCATCCACTTCCGCAACGGAAAAGGCAGTGAATGTATATCTGCCCTTCTTCCCATCACAGATAAAGGCAAGATTTCGCATGTACTCTCTGCGCATCTCCTGCTGTCGAGAGCCAGATCGCGGATATTCTGTGTAGCTGTTCCGCGTCTTGCCGAGACTGCACAGGAGGAAGTATGGCTCGTAGAATCTAGCCATAAGCCTAGGATAAGGGTCACAACGTGGTTTCCTCTTGGAGTTTTCTTCAATTGGAAGAGTGAGTCGGAAAGTCGTTGCTGGGGGCATGACAATTTGGTTGGCAATGAGGAACGATTATAATGTGAAGCCGACACCACTGGCAAGGAGGCGACAGTATTGTACAATACTGTGTTCAAATTGATTGAAGTCACGAAATCTCCAGAAAACCCAAGGCTTCCAGGGATTAAAATGCAATCGACTCGCTCGTGTCCTGGCTGATCCTATCCATGAGGCCTACCACTAACACCACTAGCAACCGCCAATGGTATCTCGCCAGCGGACCCAGCCTAACCTCTTCTTGAGGCCTACCACTAAAACCACCAATAGCCGCCAATTGTAGCTCGCCACGCATTCCAACGGAGATCATGTAACCATCCGCGAAAATCATTTTCAAAGAATATGCGCACCTATGTTATTTCTTAGAAAGAATCATCTACACGTCAGGGAAAGTAGCGACCATGTCTCTGCCAGAACGCGCCGGGCAAATATACAAGAAATGTCCCACCGGACCCCTGGGGGCAGCGAATTTGCAACGAACGACTTTACAGGGAGTTGGTCGTGTCCGGAGAGCTGCCCTCTTCTCTGACCTATAGGGTGGGACTGTTTCGTCAGCAGTCGAGAAGCGGCAAGTGGCTGTCCGCGCAGCATACTTATAGCAGACCTGCCGCCGCAGGTGCCAGGGTACATACTAGTTACCACACAGAAATGGAAGTTTACGTGAAGAAAAATTACGGGCACCTCGCGAAGCAGTTGCTCTGCGTTGTCGTTGTCGTGACGACCTGCGTCGTGTTGCTTAGTGACACCTGTCGCCGGGAGGGCTTCTTCCACTGGACGGTGCGAGGAGCACGCGCAAAATCTTGAACTTTGCTAACCTTTATGCAGCATAATGGTTCCGACTCAAGACGAGGCCTGGGGAACCTCCTCCAGTCGGCTGGGTCAGACGTAGCGAAGTCGCTGTTTACATCGGCGAAAATTGGCACGTCTCATCTTTGCGGTGGCTTCTCCGGCCATGCGGACATGTGTGTCAGCTACCATCTTTTCATCACTATCGCTATCGCTATCATAGTCTTTCTGCTTCTCTCGCTTGCACTTTCCATCGCGGTGGCAGTTATGGCCCGGCCACCCCGCCCTGCCAGCAGGGCTGCAGTCTTATCCCAGAGAATTGGTCTCGGGCTTGTTCTCGTAGGCTTCGCATTTGCGACTGGCGCGTATGGGATTGGGCGACAGCTGCACAAAGCTCTTGGTGGTCAGTTGGATATAGGGCTTACACTGGTTGGATTTTGCGTTATCGCGGGACTTTCTATCGTCTCGCTAGCTGCGGACACGTACAATTGGTACCATGCACGCCGACCTCTTGCTCCACAAGAGAACAAAGACCCGTTTGCGGATCAGTGAAGTCGCTTGCCGGTTTGGACGAGAGCGTGAGTTCCTGACCGACGCTAGCGATAGGTGCGCGAGCGCCGGTGTTGTATTTTGCCGACTGAGAGTTGCTATTGACCTGTTGATACAAAACATAGTTGTTGAGTGGTGTTAGAAAATTGATGCGGTGATGTAGTATTTGTCTAGGAGGTTGGAAGTAGGTAGAAGACCTGTCGCCGGTCTGTTTATGAGCCTTCAAAGAAAAAGCTAACTTCAATTCTTGCAGGTGCAAAATGATAGGAAAGGTAAATTTGTAGACGACATCACTTCATATGTAAACCCCAATTTATCTACTTGCTGTAAATCTTTCTCGCTTGAAACTGGTGCTGTGTTGTTTTCTTTGTGTACGTACGTGCCGATGTGCGAAGGAACCAGGCCAGATTTTGATTGCCGCTCCAGGGTAGCGCCGCCCAGGCTTGGTGGCCGGAGTACTCAACAATATGTTGGCGGAGTTTCAATGACAAAGCCAAGATGCTGACACTGTCGCACCTCTGAACATTGAGCCAGGGCTATCTAATATCAAGGTCTGGTATTTCTCGCAGCGAATGTATCATTGCCAGCAGATCACAACGATGCCACAAAGATACCACTGTACAGTTACGGAGAGTTCGTGCCGCCATTGCGTCAGTGTGGCACATTGGCCGAGACTACGTCCCATTTCCATCAGCACTGCACAGCGTCCCTGACTTTGACGTGAGCTTTACGCCTTGCCATTGGCTTGTACTTCACTGCTGCCGCTTTTGACCTCTATTGAGGCATCCGAATTGGGCCATCTAATCTCAGAGTGCCCACTTCATGCCTGTAGGGATAAGGCTGCTGCTTGCCCAACGGCCCCACCCAGCGCTACGGCTGGAACGCCCCGCAAAATTCCCCGGCGTGCACAGAGCAAAGAGCAAAACCGGAGCCGCGATCTAAGTGGCTAATTGCCATGCGGCTGGTCTGAAAAGCAAGAAATGGCTGTACGCAAGTCACTCGAACTGCAACATAGCGGTTCCTACCTTTACATACAGTACCGGTACCGCGCACGATAAACTTAGACTTTCGCGGAGGACATTGGCAGTGCAGCAGAAAATGGACAGACGCTGGTAAGTGCCCACGGTCATGAACTCTCCCTGCCAGGTTGGACAGAAAGCTGCGCCTGCCAATATAATGTTAAATAGTGTGCGACCAGGGAAATTTCTACACGGACGTACGCAGATTTTTTCACTACTGGCCTTGGAGACGACCATGGAGATGACCGATAATACTGCGGACATACCGGCAGAGGTAATCCATCCTCGACCGGCAACTCACCCTGCACTGTTCGCCTCCGCATCCGGCACCTACTCAACACTGAATGACCAGCGAACAGTTTTGGATGCATGTGGTGTCTCTATGATCGGCCACGGCGATGAGACTGTCAAGTTTGCTATACAAGAACAGCTACAAAAAGTTGCCTACGCTCATCCCTTCATGCACACAACGTCTCCCCCCCAAGACTTGGCATCCTTCCTCTGTCAGGGAATCCCTTCTCTGGAGCCATTTAAAGTATACTTCTCGAGTTCAGGAAGCGAGGCTGTTGACTCTGCCATGAAGCTCGTGGTGGCATTCCATCGCGCCAACAATAATCCTCAGCGTACGCACTTCGTGTCGAGACAAAGATCGTATCACGGAAACACTATTGGTTCGATGTGCCTGGGCGACTTCCCGCGTCGCAAACAGCCTTATGATGAAGCTTTCAACAGGCTAGATGTCAGCTTTGTCAGCCCTGCGTACGCCTATCGTCAGCAGGGGAGTGACGAGAGCGAGGTACAGTATTCTAACAGATTGATCAACGAAATTGAAGCAGAGTTTTGCAGAATTGGGCCACAGAATGTCGCAGCCTTTGTTGCAGAAACAGTGGGGGGTTCGACTGCCGGATGCATTACGGCCCCTGAGGGCTACTTTGAGGGCGTGCGCCGTGTTTGTAACAAATATGGAGTGCTTCTTCTCCTCGACGAGATTATGTGCGGGAACGGCCGCACGGGAACCTACTTTGCGTTCGAGTCCGAGGGTGACTTCGTTCCCGATATTGTTGTTTTGGGCAAAGGACTCTCTGGCGGGTATTTGCCTCTTGCAGCAACGCTCATCCAGCATTCTGTCTACGAAGTGATCCAAAGCGCTGGAGGCTTCATCCATGGGCACACCTACCAAGCACACCCTGTCAGCTGCGCCGCCGCTCTTGCTGTGCAGCGTGTCATACGAAGCACCGGCTGTCTGGCCCACTGCAAAAGGTTAGGCGACAGAATGGGCTTAAAGTTGCGCTCGTTGTTCACAGATCTCGAGTTTGTGGGAGACATTCGGGGCCGTGGCCTCTTCTGGGCTATCGAGTTCGTCGCGAACAAGCGGTTGAAGATGCCTTTGGCCGAGGACTTTGCATTTGGATCAAAGCTAAGACAGTTTGCGCACGACAGTGGTGTGGCTATACTGTCTGGAAGTGGCACCGCGGACGGTCACGCGGGTGATCACATAATTTTTGCTCCACCACTGACAATCGAGCAAGCAGAACTGGACTGGATGATTGATATCACAAGGGAGGCATATCTGAGGACCGAAAAGGTGTATAAAGCACAAAGATATTCAGGAGACGCCCAATAGAAGCGACCGGAGCTATCATGATTTCACGAGGTAATTCGTTCCAATCACGAAGGCTTATCATGGATGCGGCGTATCAAGGATGACAAGGATGACGAGGTAGTCGAGATGAAGGATAATGTATTCGCAGCTACTTCTTGCTACTATTTCGATGCACCTGCTTCAGCAAATGCAAATAGTCTCTTGGAGGAGTACTTCGATACCAGCCCTGCGATTCTTGAGCGAACAGAAGATTCGACCGATGATGACAGCCATGATCTGAAGGAAAAGTTCCACGAAATCAAAGTTGCAATTACTTGGTAGAGGCGTGCTATTGACTTCGTATGTGATATAGTGGAAGCGGCAACCATGAGGTCTGACCACGATGACAATCGCGCCATTGTGACAGGTCTGGACGAAAGCTCGAACTGTGCTCTACATTCACTATAAGCATTTGAAAACCACACGGTGCCCCTTGATACTTCTGTATCGACACATCAGACAATCACTTCACTCAATCTCACCTTTATCTACCGGACGACGCTCGCCTGGCTGACAGTGTTACTGCTGTTAGCTCAAAGCCTGTTCCAAACCCGAATCCTATCCCGCGCTGCAACCTTGAATGCATCTTTCCTGGCCACTCTGGCCCAGAGCTTTGTCCGTTTCTCTTCTATACTGACCGCCACTTGGTCGATCTTGATAGCAAATGTGTCTGGATAGTACTATCAGTTAATAAACTATAGTTTTGTCTTAAAAAATTGACAAAGCATATGCAAATACGCTGGGCGTACAAGATGTGTAACACGAGGTGTCTTCGGCTGGATTCGGCGTTGATTGGCACTAATTAGAGAAACTGGCATTCCTGCTATTGTCTACACTGTGTACTTGGAATTTCAAATTCTGCTAAGAAGAAGCCGAGTTTTTTTCTTTTCCCGCATTTTTTATGGTCGTTCATGTATGATCTGTATGGTGCCCTTCCTGGGCAACAGTCGGAGATGAAGTACCTCCTTGTTGAGACATCATGCCACTAACAGCTGCACCACCTGAACCGTTCAATCGTCGCGAGAGAGCGCACCTACCATTTGCTGTCGGCTTGAATAGATGAATGGAAATACCGTTTAGGGGTGGCTTCCCGATCGGAGCATTAGCAATACTTGTGCCTCGCATTCATAGCAGTCGCTCTCTCCTTTAGTAATGTCAGCGAAACCATTTGATTTCAAATTAGATCGCATAGGTGAGTAAATACGCTTGACACCACGACCGAGAAATAAGATGGTCAGGCTATGGTTCCAACGGCAGCACCGTACACTACATGAAGTTAGCTGCGTCTGATCCAGACTCCCGCCTCGTCTGCTGGCACCTGGACAATGACCCATAGACATGCAGCGCTGCGTTGTTTTAGCATCTGCCCAATGGTAAGCAGACACAAGCTGATACATCGAGCTGATACATGCGTACAACATGCATATGCATGCCCAAGGTCTGAGCTGACTTTTTTGATAAGAAACGCTCTAAAGAAACTTACCCCTCACTATTCCCCCCATATCCTGATTCTTTAGATGGCAGCACATCGAGACCTGGGGTATGATTTGCCTGCCCGCATCTGCTTCAGCTACCAGCCTTATGCCCTGGTGCTGTGACAAAACAACAATTCTTTTTGTAGGTTGGGTGATCAAGCATCACCAGCGCCGGCCTCAGTATGTCTACGTGCGGAACATGTTTGCGCGTATTCCCAGCTGGCTGGCAGTCGCGGCAGCAACACATGGATGCGACTGGACACTATCCTCCAGACTTTGAGTGTGATACGTGCGATCGGTACTTTGGTAGTCAGCATGCTGTCGACCAACACATGACTGACCTGTTCCATTGGGCTGAATCCTCTGAGGCGGATGAGCCAGATTACGAGTGTGACGACTGCAACGCAAGTTTTTATGATGAAGAAGGCCTTCGCGACCACGAGGTCAAGGAACACTTCTACTGTGACCCTTGTGATCGCTATTTTCAATGTTGGGGCAATATCAATCAAGTAAGGCATCCGTCTGACCTCTGCTGGCTTTCTGGCTGATGTGAAACAGCACCTCCATAGCAAAATTCACCGCAATAGCTCCATTCGATGCTTTTTCTGCAAGACCGAACATGGAACGGCTACCGCGTTGGTTCATCACCTTGAAGGCGGCTTTTGCCCAAAGGCCCCATTGAGTCGTGATACACTATATGAGGCAGTACGAAGGCGCGATCCTAACGGTATTATCTCAAAGAAGCTGCTTACTTGGACAGGAAGCACAAGCTACGAGGCTACTGAGATGGCATGGAACTCCGCTGTCGACGCCTACCAATGCTACCTATGCGCACGCCTCTTCGGTAAACTTGCATCACTGAATCAACACCTTGGCTCCCCTATTCACCAGCAGAAGCTCTATCACTGCCCAAATAGGCGCTGCAATCGTGATTTTAAAACTCTCGCAGCTGTTATAAATCATCTAGAGAGTGAGAGTTGCGATTACATGCGTTTTGAGGCAGTACAGACGAACGTTCAGCGTATCCTTGATCCCAACCGGATGATACAAGCATAACTGTTGCAATCGCTGAGATAGTTATAAATAGAATATCTCGATGAGGAATCAATGCTGAGCTCTCTTCTTCCTCAGCTCTCGCCTGCAAGTCTAGTTTAGCCTACAAATCTCTGACAACAGTCGCCGAATTCCATCAGTGAGCAGAAGTGCCATGCTCCATGTTTCCGCCTGCACCAGGTGGCAAGGGCGTTTAAGTGCACTCCCTTGTACCCTCAAAATTGAAGTGTCATACATGGCGGCTACTGGGCGAGCCTGATTGGCGTCACGTACTCCACCACTCGTGCCACCGCATAAGCTGAAATGCAATATGCAACCAAGGAAATGCAGTGTAGTGTCTGTCAGTTTGGGCGCTCGTTATCATTTGTGATGTCTTGGACTCTGTTTGTGGCAGGAACTCGGCAACCGGGGCGCTTCCAATTCCGTAGCCTTCTGACATTACGGATTTGATGACAGTACCATATTTGGACACTCATATATCACAGTTCGCAAAGAACTCATGATATTTGGGTAGAGACAATGTAGACTGTGGATTTGGTGGCGAGACTGCTCGAGAGTGTGCCGGTGACCAGCTTTCAGAGCTGGACTCCTGAGTGAAGAAGGCCCTATCTTTCGCCAACCCTGGTCAGACACGCATATGCATGTTTCAGAGATATTGTGTACAACCGACGGGCTCCATGGCTATGGAGGGGAGCATTGCGGGAAAATGTTCCAGTACTCAGCAAAATACCTCAATACTCATCGGAGTTCGTAATTTGGCACACCAGCTTACAAATTATAGACAAAATATTATGAACGGCCAAATTTTGCCACTTGCATCATGATTGTGGGATCGAGAGACGAAGGGCAAGCGACGAGACAAGTGCATCAAGACTTGGCCACCAAAGGCTATTGAAGGAGGCCTACCACTATACTCTTTATGGCGATGTGCTTTTACATGCAGAATGCAGCGCAACTCCCTGAGCCTAACACCATAACAAGGTCTGGGTCGTATCACTTTGACTTTGGATACCGGTAGTAGAGTGCTCCTAAGTAGAAATAGTTGGCAGAGGAGTGACTTTTCGCCCACAAACCAAGACGTGGGTGTGCTGCAGAACCACTTCAGCAACGGCACTTCAGAGAAAGTCGAAAGTTCAGTCTTCTTTTATCAGTACTATAGGTTCAGTATTCACCTTGCTAACAACATGCTGTCTTGGTCTCGAATAATTAAGAACTTTCTATTCAATCTTAAATAAAGTGAAAGGATTGGAGGTTCTTCTTTTTCCAGCGATGTAGCCAATTAGGGACAACCCACCCCATACTACCCATAATACCGCTAAGGAAAACTCGCGCAAATCCTACTCTTCTATAAACCGCAACGTTATCCTCTATGCCTGCAGAGCTTGTTAGAAGGCAGTATACACCTTGACTGCATGCTGTTATAGGTAGAAGAAACACATCTAAATCATTGGCTAACGTTTTATCAAAAACCACTTTCCACACCGACTTCTTTAGCTTGCGTATCTCTAGGGTATATCTTGAGCTGTAATCTGGATGTCCAACACAACGCCGTACACGGGGCGCGATTAGACGTTTCGCGGCCACTACAGGCATTTCTTTCATATAATATGTAGCTCTCGTAATAGAGTAAGAGGTGGTGAGATTATAAAAGGGTGGCGGTTGCCCATCACTGTTAGACCCTAGGCCGATACTGCTCCTTGTGTTTCCGTGCAAAAAGCTTGCTTTTCTTGCGATGCCGGTCACGAGGTCACGGACGAGCGCGCCTTTGTCCGGGACCGCAATACCGAGTCAAAAGACTTTCAACAGCGAGGTCATTGACATTTACTCAAGCGATGAAAGTGCCTCGAATAACACCTCCGCGAGCTCAAAACCGTGTGCTGACCCGCTAATTAAAACGAGAGAGCCGGCTGAGACAGGTAGGCCTACCATCGGCAGAAAAGCTTTGAGTGATATACTGACGAAGCTATCAGCGATTGGGCCTCGCCTGCGTGACTTCGGTCACTGTAAGGATGTGGATAGTACAAGGTATTACGAGAACGCGGGCGGCGAGCCAGCAGGCGAGGGTGACAGTGGCTCTGGCGGGCTTGACTCGGTGGCTGGTATCGACCAGCCGCTGGCGCATATTCGCCGTCGTTCGTTTCCCGGGCAAACGAACGGTGAAATATCGAGGCAGCGACTTGATGATGAGATACCTGACTCAGAGGAAGATTCCGACGATGGGAAACTTCGAGCGGACGCCAACACAGACACGGAAACGAACAGAGCCAGTGAACTAACTACAGAAGGAAAACGGGACGGGCCGCGAGGCAGAATCGCAGTAGGGAATATACCACACAACAAGCGCAAAGCCTCTATCGAGCCATCGGAACAGAAATGTGCCTATTACGGAGGACAGACAAAAACGACCACGGTATAGAGTTGACATGGCCTTTCGGCAGCATATACGACACCTTTCCTACCGAGGAACGCGTTTTTGAGAATCGAAACTTTCTCGCAGGCTTGGGCAGCAGGGTATCTCAGCGGCCGATACAGGACGAGAAGACCCTCGAATATTTTCTACATATTAGCGTTGAGGATCCTGTCCGGGTCATCATAGAACGACTCAAACTGGTGCAAGATGCCAGGGCGGCTTTTGAACTGGGAGATGGCGTCATCTTTGAGAATCACCCTCATGTGCTAAGCGAGGTCGCAGATGAAGTTCTTGATAGCGGAACGCCAGCAACAGCATCGACGCCACCGCGCACGCCTGACTACCGTCGAGATCTGAACAAGTTACGGCCAGACCAGATATGTGTCTATCGATCCGACGACACCGCGGTCTCACGGCGGACCATGATATATATTTCTGAATATAAGCCGCCTCATAAATTGACGGCTCCTCACCTTCGAGTTGGCTTGCGCGACATGGATATCTACAAGGAAATAGTGAACCGAATGCATCCTCAGTTTAGCACGTCACGTAATACTGCCCATAGCCACTAACCATACGTCGCAGCTGGCCTGCTCGCGTCGGTCTAACTGACACCCGCCTTTTCGAGTCTTATATTTCTGTTGTAGAGGGTGGCACGGCCCCTTAGTAGTAGGCAAGCTCTTTTACTTGACTACGTAGTTATGTCTTAGAGGAAGCAGCTAACTACTGGTAGGAAGCCGTAACCTCTTGTGGCATTACCAGCCCCTAACAGCACCTCTCGACCGCTGCGTTGCGAAGGTCGCGTAGTAATGGCCCTGCTAAACTGCTCCGTTTCTATTTTATTCTCATTTTTCAGCGTCAAACGTCAGCTTTTTCTACTTCAGATTATCTATATCTGCTACCGTCTAAACCCAGTGTGTCATTTCTTCTAGAGCGAAATTTTAGCCTCTACGACGCCGACAGTAAAATCGCATTAATGACAATTTAAGCATCGACTATAGCCCCGTCTAGAATAATGCTGAATTAGCCGACGGTAGTAAGAGGTGATGAGTATCTTTATTTTAGTCCTATTTTGCCTAGTTACTCTTCAAGTTGTCAACAGTCTGCCTCAGCTCTACCAGGCCTCGTCCAAGTTCTTGTACTTGGTCAGCTCCCAGTTGACATCCCCTAGAAACTCGCGGCTGTTATATGGGGTTACGCAACCGTCGAAAAACCTGCGCCCGTCTTCCAGACGCATTCGTTTGGCTGCAGGAAGCTCCTCTCCTTCCTCCAAAAACTCGACCTCGTCTGCCGCAGGGTCCCCGTCGCCTTGGTCGTCACGGGGGGCTGATCGCTGTCTCTTAGACGGATCGCCGCCAACCGGCCGCTGCGTCAGGTCGCGCCCAGAGTTTGGCGTCATGGCCAGGTCGATTCTGCCGGTCAGAGGCGTGCTGCCGCCGGAAGTGCTGGCCAGGCCGGCGCGGGGCGTGCTGATCTGGCTCTTGGCGTTGGATGGAGGTGCGTCTAGATCCGGGTAGGCTGCGGCCATGTTCTCGATGCAACACATGTCGTAGTGGTGCCGCAGCGCCCTGCGGTCGATATCGAAAGGCACGGTTGCCTTGCGGCCGTGGTAGGGTTCCAGGTCTTGATATGGCACAAAGACACGCACCAATAACGTCTTCGGGTGGATAGAAACGAGGCGCGCATCGAAAAAGTCATGTATGTGCTTCATCAGCAAGATGCCGTTATGAGGGCTCCACGTTTTTCGCCACGCGTCTTGCAAGAGACGTGGATTGTATCGCATTGTCTCGTCAGCGTCAGAGCTCGACGCATTCGTGCTGCATATCGGGTAGAGATGATAATGCTGCTGCGGCACCACATGGCAGGCTTGGATGCCCGGACCGATCGGCTGGCCTAGGCACCACGGCGCGCCGCCGCCGGTGATAGCGCAGCATGCGGACCTGTTGATGCACGCCATCCTGAATTCGCTGATGACTTTGCGCGCCTGGTCCATGGCTATGTCCATGTTCGCGGGAGCGACTATGTTGGCGTATTCACCGTCGGCGTCGTCGGCTGGTTTCTCAGGTGAGCTGCGACCTGACGCGCTTCGTTTCGGGGGTGACTGCGAGCGAGCCTTGGCTTGACGCCGTAGCGGCATGATGTTGAGTCTGGAGTTAGACGGCGTCTTATTGTGCGGTATATAGGCAGGATGGCGATATCGATCGGGGGTCGGCAGATGTTGGGCGCATTTTGCTGTTGAGTCGTAGTGTCAGCAGAGAGACATTAGAGAGACACTGATAATGGAAAGGTTAAACCTCGAAGGTGGTCTTTTAATGAGGAGCCAGCTGGTAACAGGCAACGGCTGTGCCGCACGATGTGATATTTGATGGTCCTGCGTGCTTTAATGGGATCCATTGACGGCACGCCGGGGGCGATTGCGTCTATATTTTCGTCTGTTATCCAAGCAGGATATTCAGCATGTTCATCTTCGTTTTCAGGCTCGGGTGTCTCGATCAGGGCAAACGCGATGCCGCCCCACGGCTTGTTGCGCGCTGTATTGCCGCCGTCGCCGTTGTTTCCGCCGTCGCCGTTGTTGCCGCTGCTCTTGTTGTTTCTGCTGTTGTTTCCGTCGTCGTCGTCTTTTCGATCATTGTCCAGAGAGCTGCCGTCGAAGCACAACGCTAGCTCGGCGCGCACGTCAGCAAAGGTCACGATCGGCTTGCGTGGGTTCTGGTGTATGCCCGCAAAGTGTGGGGGAAATTCGTCGTCGTCGGCTGGTCCGATGGTGAAGAGCACGTTCCACCCGACAGCGCGCATCGACGCTGTCACAGCCGCCGACATGGCTTCTGCTCGTTTGGTTGATGCAGGTTTCAACGAGGCCTTCATGGGGCGGGCGCAAGTGCTCCATGGCGTGGGTGACTAATCCGCCGTTGCAGGGCAACGCCACAAGACAGTCGCGACGGGCCAGGAAGTAAAGCCGCCTAGAAAGAAGGGTAAGCAAAAGACAGGCTCTGCACCACAAGGTCGCTTCGTCCCCCATAGATGCTCCATCTTCTTCGTATAACAATTTTCGTATAGGCCGCTTATACCGATGCAACTCGAGTACTTACTATGTCCCCTCCACCAGCTAAATCTCCTCTCGTCGGCAAACTTTAATGAACCTTCTCATCGTATTTGACCGCTTAAACGCCACCATTATGCCCCCCCTCGGCTTATCGTCCTTAAAGCAGGTATGTCCGTCGCCCACCACCGCAACACCTTCAGATTCCAGGAAATCTCCAACCCCCGTGCACCAGCACCCACCCCCAGTATTGCGCCACCTTTTCCGAGCCCGTAAACAGCCGCGCCTAGACCAGGTAAATGCGGAAATCGTACTCGTCAATTGGCGCGCCGCTGTACGGGTCCGTGTACGACACCTCTTCCATCTCCAGGCTGTCCGCACCTTAGACGCCGCCTTTTGCTTCTTGCGCACCGGGCTTCATCAGCGGCGGCGGCGGCAGACTCGGCCGTCGAAGGCTCAACGCCGATCGGCTTGGCTGGTAGGCTTGGCGTGCCGTACGGGCTGGGACTCTTGCGCGGCGCCGAAGGAACGGCATTGTCTAGGTCTTTGGCTCTTCGGTCGCCCGAAAGTCTTGAAGCCTGCCTTCTGGCGTAGTGCTGCTAGCTTAGGATCGTTATAAAAGTCGCGAATAGTCTTAGCAAGATTGAAGCTAGTGCCCTGCCCCTCAGCTAGCTCGTGTAGCCGCTGGCGTAGCCAGTCGACGGGCTTAACGTCCGTCTTATAATCAGCTAGGGACTCAAGCGTCTCACAGAGGCGATATAGCGTGTTGTAATTGGTAATTGTGCCGTGGCCCACGCCTATGAATCGCTTGCTGAGAAGTTGATAAGGGCTAGTCTTGTCTTGCTCAAGGAACTTGAGGATCCTCTTGCCCTGGGTGACTTTGTGATCATAGTGATACGTACGAACCACCTCGTCACGTATCCCGGCTTTCTTCGCCGACCGATTCATCTCATGCACGCGCAGATCGCGCTCTACCAAGGTTCGTAGATCGGGCCACGTAGGCTCCCAGTACGGATGGCTGGGGGTAATCTTTTCCACAGGGACTCCTTCGATGCACTTAGGATATGTATAGACGCTGCCGTCGTGCCGTAAGATGAGGGTATCTTTTGTAATGGGGCTTGAGTTGCCAGACATGTGTGCCTGTAGCGGCCTGTAGGGTGATGTATACGCTTTGACAGAGGCCTCTTGCGCAGCCGTTGGCAAAGCTTTCAGCCCAGCAGCCGTCGAGCTGGGAGAAGGGTCTAGCCTCTGACCCGGCGTTATTGGGTGTGATCTGCTGCGTGGAGGTTCCAAAGCGGGTGGGATGCGGGCGGGTATGTTGGTCAGCGACGGAAGCTTGAGCTGACTCTCCGCCGGTCTCTTTTCAATAAACTTCGACAATGCCAATTGTCGCTCGTGGACACCGTCTTGGTTCCTGCATTGCCGAAGCATCAAGTCGTTATGTTGAGCATCTATGTTGTTCAAGCGCTGCGCTTCTTGGTTGTATGTCTCATTGACGAGGACAGCCCGACTGCGGACCGCGGCGAGCTCTCGGCTGAGCTTCTCCTCCTTTTTCCCGAGGTCACGGATTTCGGCTTCCGTGCCGCGCATGTGGGTGATGATGGATGATCTGTCGTGGCTCCAACGTTGGGAGTGTTGGGCAAACTCTTCCTGGCGCTTCACAGCATTCTTGCGCCAGGGATCGTCCTTTGCGATGTCCCACATCTCGGCGCGCTGAGAGAGTGGGAGAGTTGACACGGAGTGTTCTTCGAGGTCTGCGTTGATGCTCTCGGGTCTCCTCTCCATCGCATTCGGGGCAGAAGATAGATGTGTGTGTTTGGAGCCAGCCAAGCTGGTTGTCTCCGGTGGCGACGTTTGACACTATAACGGGTCAGCGCCGCGCCCAGAGTGATATGCAAACAACCCTGTTTTGCTGGAGTATGATCGATGGCCTACCTGGGTACTGGTGAGAATATATCAACGTAATTGCCAAGTTAGTCACGCGCAGAGAGAAGAATGGGCCGTTGCACGATGGGATGGAGAAGGTCTGGAGATTCTGAGGTCTGCGGTTTGTGGTGACATTAAACATGCCCCCTCCCTCCTCTATTGATAATTTGATTGTGGAGATTTGACAGGCTGGCAATAAAACTAACTTGTATCTGAGTGGACACCATCATTTTAGAACATGCGAAGGTACTCAGCAGCGTATGTCGAGCACTTCGTATTCTGCGAGGAGGGGGCTGGCTGTGCGGCCAGCCTCATTACTCATTACGCCGCTAAGACGCCAGTATCAGCTCTTAATTAAAAAAACTAAGGGAGTTGTTTAGATGAAAACTACTTTGCTGAGAAAAAAAGTGCCAGTACCTAGTTGAAAGAGGTCAAGCTTTGGTCCGATGGCCATAACAGGGCCGCCTGGGCAAGCAGCTATAATGCCACCCCTTCCCCTATTCTTCTTGTCATCCTGATGATGCCATTCTCCTAAATTTTATGCGGTCCGTGTCATTATCCACTGACTTGCAGGCATACTGCACTTTGATTTCGAACGCAGAGCCCGGGCCATCTTATTACGTCTGACTGCCTCGTTTCCCTTTGCTACCATCTAACTGACGGGGACACAACTCTTCATTCCCGGTTCCGCTTATTGATCGAGCTCTCATTAGACGTAGTTTAGGCTCACAGGTTCCGTGTCATCGCATGGCCATTGGTATCGCCTGCCACGCATCGGCATCCAGCCATACTCCCCGGAACCGTGGAGAGAGCGCTTGCAAGTGTTACTGAGCGATTCTCCCGACGAAGTGTGCGCAAGATGGACACAAGATGTTACTGTGAGTATCTCGTCAAGGAACGGTATAGTTGGTGTTAGTAGCTCAGACCGAGAATGTAGCGAGCAGGCACACGTGGCTGGTCGGTGCCTGATCGGTCATGTACTCGCTTTAATAACTCCTCTCGCAATAGTCAATGTGCATCGACTGACCGCAGTCGCCGCTAGTGTAGCGGACCTCACCAGAACTTCAAAGCAAGCAAGTCAAGCAAATCAGCTACGACGAGTCTTGCAAGTTCTTCTTCAGCTTCTTTAAAATCCGTGGTAAGAACCTCCTAGACGCGAAACTCGGTCCCAATAGTGCGGGTCTGAGGAGATAACTCGAAGGCTATTAGACACGAGTTGCTAATAGGTGGGCGGCGGGTTAGTGATGGGTTAATGGTTGGTTATTGTTGTAATTCATGTGCGGTGCTCGTTCTCAAGACGCATCGTGGCCAGTGTAAAACAGATCGCCGCTTACACTGCCTTCAAAATCGGTTTATACTCTAGTCCATCTGACGGTCCCGTTCCTAAAAAGAATGAAACAATTTATCTCTTAGTTTTAGTTAGTCTATTAATACTAATACAGTTCTTTTCTATGTGTTTCTTATCTTACGCATCGGAAGAGAAAATGAGCCACCGTTTCTCGTTCATGGCCACATACACATTCCATTGATGATGCTGCCTTGATTCTGTATAGCGAGTTGTTCAATTTTATCATGCCTTTTCTTAACTGGAATAGCACTCTGCGTTCTGTCCATGGTCGGTTTCATATAGCTGTCGAGTGTGCGCGCTTAGGAGGGCAGCTTATTATCAGCGCGTGCTACCTTCCGTGCTACCTGGAGGTCTCGTTTCTCGTGATCTTTAAGTATTATCCGTTCTTCCAACGCCTTGGAGATTACGCTTGCGCTCCAGCTTAGCATACTTCTGACCACAGGCGTTACACAAAGTGTGGACGCCGTCAGGACCACGCCGCCATTCAGCAGAGTGGGTTATGTCGCAGCTGTGGCAGCGGCCGCCGAGAGGAGCACGCTGAGGTGTGTTAGTTACAAAACTGGAGCTGGGTCGTATTAAACAGACTTACGCGTCGGCCGCAAAAACTGATGAAATAATCGTGGAGTTGTTCGGCCACGAATTTGGCGTCAGCAGTTGCCTCGTTGAGCTTGTATTCACTAGGCGAACGCTGACCGTGGTACAGTACGTCAACAAAGTTCATAACTGCGCGGGTCCTGTAAACAAGCTGTTCATACATCCGAGGAGACAGCCGCCCGGTCGGGTTGGGAGCGTCTCCGACAGGGGGCCGGACCCCGACTACTTCGGGTGCGCGATTCGTGCTGCAAGACTGATCGGGGTGGCCACCGAACGGCGGTCTACAGGAAGGAGCAAGCGGCGGAGGCAGGTCTCCAGAGGTAGGCTGGGGAGATAAGAGTGGCAGCGCAATGACATCACCCAAAATTTCTGAGATGGGAGGCAAACAGAAAGCCTCAGATGGATCCCGATGATGCACAGCTGCCATGGCGGCTTAGACGGATTGGAGAGAGGTGCCACGATGGAATCGCGAGTGAACGGCAGACGCAATATCTATGCTATAAGAAATGACCTCGATACTTATTCAGCTATTCTGCCGGAGCGGAATAAGCTAGCTGAGCGGCAGCACTCCGGCCACGCCGTACCATGCACGGCCTCAGAAGTCCGAAAAGCGCGTCAGTCATCAAAAGGGTGGATCGAAAGCGTGGACGTTCTCCGCAGCCGCCTGCCAATCGATGGCACGCCCCTCCCCGTCTTCCATCGCCCGTCGCGGGGAGAGCGGATAGTTACCAGATTACGCCCCGTTTTCTCTTTCCTCGTGCAAAGATGCGTATAAAACGGTGTGGCTTGGCCCAGCAGCCATTTGCATTTCTAAAGTAGTTGATCAGGCTTGGAGAGCTTGGGCGAGCCAAAGATTCGCCGCAACACGGCGGCATCGCCCCATGGTGTGTCACTAGCCAGAAATAAATGTAACATGTATTGACTGCCTGCTTGCGGCAGAATTAAATGACAATATGCGGAGAGCAAAGTATTGCCTACACACCCCGCTGCTCCCGTCGCCGCCACGGACAATATTCAAATCTGCTGCCTGCTTACACGACCAAGCGGTATACAACGGCGTCGGGCAAACCACCATATTCATGTGATGCTGACGGCGGCGAAGAAGCCCGAGAGCACTGCAATGAACACGGTTGGTAGCACTCTTGCCGCGCGAATCTTGCCAGCCATCTTCAAAGCGTGGAGCTGCCGTGAGTATGTCTGAAGCTGTGGTGGGAGTTAAATTTTCATGCTCCAAATCATCCTTATAAGCCCTAGCGGTGTACTTGAGCAACTAGCTCCAACTTGAAGCTTTCACATTACATTTAATTTGAACTTCCATACATATCTACACCACTCATACTTCGGCCATTCTGCGCCTCGCTCGCTCTTTAACAAATGACCAGTATCATGGCTATCTTAAATGATGTCGACCCTAACAACCCACAACCTCCACGGACTTCAGACAGGTCAACCTCAAGGCCCGTTCCGTTGCACGGTGACCCTCCAGATTGCTCGGCTTCCCACCAGAGTGCTCATCTGTCCAGTCAATGTGATACTACAGGCACCGATGAGATGATTACTTACTCATATTCGAATGTCCGGTCGCGCGCTGCTGGCCAACGCAAAAGTGATGTCAAGTTAACACCGAAAACTGGCAAAGTCAGCCGAGCCAAGAAAGGCAACCGGGTACATACATGTGAGCAGTGCCAACCTTCAAAGACATTCACCCGAGCCGAGCATTTAAGACGACACGAACTCATCCACCGACCACCTGCGCTGGTCTGCGACGCCCCGGACTGCGGCAAAGCATATCATCGCAAAGATCTGCTGAAGAGGCATCGGCAGCAACACGAGAAACCGATCGCGCTGAGCCCTCCTGGTGAGAACACAGCTAGTACTCTCGGCGCACGGCGCACGGCGCACGGCAAAGGGGTGAAGCGGGCACGGAAGTAGTCTCACTTCAATGAGAATGAGAAAATTGCTTGCAGGGGACGACTCAATTGCAGCAAGCCACGTGATTGATAGAGACATACTACTACGGAGTGAACGTGGAGCTAGAAATTGTGCATGAAACACGGATTTGGGAGGCTGGACGCGCAGTGGAAATGAACGTGTCGGATGTTAGAATCAAACCTAACTACTAGTTTATTAGGATAATAATGAAAACTAGGTATAGCGACCACTCTCAGATTTAGCCATTTCCACGAGATCACGGCAAAGCTCTTGAGATGTTTTAAAGGATTGTATGCTTAACCATGTGTAATGCTCCTTGCGGCTGGTTAATTTGCCACGAAAGATGAGGCCTTTATTCGACGGCCACGAAACTGCCGCATTGAAGTTGGAAATCGCGACTTCTATCTCTCCGGAGGAATAAGACAAGGCAAGGCCTGGAAGCTCAACGTTATCGGGTAGAAACCCTGTGCCTTTTCCGGCTAATCTCAACAGCTGGGGGTCGCCGGCCTTCGTGTCAATTGTGCTGCTAAACAAGTCGAACGGAGATTGTGCTGCCAGTACCTCCGATTTCTGTTCGCGGTTAGCTTTTTTCCCTTTTGGCTGTGGTCAATCACGCACCAGATACCCTATGGCCGCTGTCACAAATATCGCACACTCGCTATAGTTTCGTCCCTCGGGATAATCTTCACTCTTTCCCGTTGGATTATCTGCCGTTGGCTTCATTTCCTGAATCTCCGCCGTGGCATTCCGGTGAAGCTCTCTTAGTCTCTGCTGAGCTTTTGTACCTCCGACCACCGGGTATAGCTCGAAGGTTTCAGACAGGGGCCAAAGCAACGGCCAAAGAAGTACAGGCATCAGATTACTAGGATCTAGCAGTCTGCCAAAGGCGTGGTGCTGTATTGCAATTGAGTTCGACGCTAAGTGTTGCCTGATAGCCTTAATGTCGTTGTCCGTATACCAGCCGTCATCTATAGTAAAAGTAAGTAGGGAGGTACTAAATCTTATAAGATACTTACTAAATAACGGGATAGTATGCGCAGAGACTCCTAAAAACTCGGCACATGCTGCTGTGCACTGAAACAGCTTTCTGGATGATCTCCTGCGCTTCTCGACAGTGTTGAGGTTTGAGATCGTGCCACCAGGCTTCCTAGACCCTTCCCATTTTTGCAGGAATGGTCTCAGATGTTCATCAGCCTCCTGAGAATTATAAAAACCAGCCAAAACGGCCTTGTCAACCACATAAGACACAAATTTCGCTACAAAGGCTAATGGGAAGCTTTGTAGCTCGGGCTGTGATGGCTCAGACGCGTCGATGTTGTGCGAGAGCTGTTGAAGCTGTTGGAGCAGTCTCTCCGTCCATCCTCCAATAAACTGTTCGATGAATTCTTCTTTGCGGCTTAACGGAGAGAATGATAAGTCGGAAATTAACCGAAAAAACTCCTGCACGAACTTGATGTGTTCCTCTGTAGCTAAAAGAAGGGACCTCACCCGTCTTGGTAGTGGTGGGGGTGGCTTTCCATCAGCCGAAACAGGAGGGCAATCTCGTATTGATAGCGCACTCCCAGTTTCATAACGACTAGGAGTTAGTATCTCAAACCCTTTGATAGGTTGATGACTCATGGCGTGTCTCTACATGACGAACAACTTTATCCAGGTGCCAAGGGTGCTTGAAAAGTCCATCAAGATAACCCCGCCAAAAATGGACCCTCTTATTAGGCGACATAGCACCCGTAAATCTTACGTGGTGCCCAACCACTCTTGCTGTTCGATATTATTTATTGTCTCCGCTTTCCCAGCCGCTCCCTCAAAAAGGACTAGCATAATACATGATCCCTGTGAGCCTCGTGCGGGCAGCTTGCCTGCCTTCAGCTTGCCTGCCTTTCCCCTTATTTACGCTGTAGAAGCACGGAAAATTTGGTGCAAGTATATAGGCGAACTAAGAGAAGGGCTCATCATAGTCAGCTGGCAGCAGGGCGGCTACGACTTAGAATGCTGAATCCAACTGATCGCCGTTGAGAACTGTCATTACTGTGATGTTGACGGGCGTGCAGAGTAATGCACTCTACCTCCCCTGGAAGACCGCAGCTATCCCTGTCTGCTACTCGAGGGAGCCTTGGCCTATGACTGACATGGGTCAGCCAACATCAGCTCTGTGGGTGGACCCGCATCGAGGGGCCCACTGCAAGCACATCTTATTGCCGCTTCGGTAAAGTGCGGCACGGTGGCAGCGCTCTGAGCAGTTGTGCTATTTGTCGCTGAAAGTTCGGCTTGCTGCTACCTTCAAGCTGCATAACTACAGGTCTCAGCGGTTGGCTGCTTCATTAAGTAAGTATCAGCAGCCCTTTTTAATACACAGACTATCGCCGGAAAGGAGGGTGTGGTGTCCGGCCCGTGGTGTAGCTCATCCTGCATGGTCAAGGCTGTCATTTATGACACTAGGTATGACCTCTAGAGACGCAGCCAAGGTACGAGCAATAGAATACAAACGGCTGCCTTGTCAGTGGAGCCAGGCAACATCGTATTATACGCATCTTGGCACGAGAGAAGAGAAAACGGCAGCAACTCACGTTCCCGCCCCTACAGCAGGGCGAGATGCCGACTTCTGAGTCGCTGAACTCGTAGGGTTTTTCGTTAGTTTCACAGAATAATTCTCGTCCCATGAGCTGGCACACGATGAAACATTGGATGGATCTTACCTCTTCTCGCAGGGTGACCACCGACACAGCCAGCGAGCCGCTCACAGAGCCTGCGCTCATCTTTCTCTGGAGGTAAGCATTAAACAGCGTGGATATTCTCTCACAGCCTTAAGACAGCCCATGACTCAGCATTTTGCAACTAGAAGGAAGCGATGGCGCGCCTTTGTGTCGCGTATTGACTGCCTATGTACGTTGTGCTTTCCGTAGCTTGTGCCGAAAAAGAGGCCTCTGAGCGTCAGGCAGGCTTCTGCCAAGCCTTGTCAGTCTCTGACTGGCCCACCGTGCAGCCTACACCTCTGGACTTTGCAATCTCCCTCTTACAGTTGAGGGGGAATCAAGACAAGCCGACCGCCTAGGAGTTCAGACCCCTCTTCAAGCACATTGCTCCAGGCGTCACACGGGTCCTAGTGAGCTCTAATAGCCATGAGCTAGTCCTACGGCAAACCGCAGAGGTCAGACGCAGGCGCAGACATGAGTAAACAAAGTGCAGGCTGTCAGTAGAGCACCGAGAAGAGTGTATCTCTCGATCGAATTACAGTACAATGCACAGGAACGGGGCAGGTTGCTCTGAAGAAAAGAGGTAAATCTATTATTCTGAGTTCGCTAGCGACTCAAGTCGTGCTATCTGCCGATACTCCTCTCGGATCTGAATGTGCCTTTAACGGCTTCTGCCCGTAGATAATAGTGCTAATGACGTTAGAGAGTAGCTCTGGTAACGCTCGGTGTGCCTTACCGTCGGGCGAAGTCTTTTTTCCCGCAGCGCGAAGCATGAATCGAATAATTCATGGAACTTTGGAATTAGGTCGAGTTCCAGCAACAATTGAGGCTGCGAGAATATAGACTGGAGACACGCGACTCGATTGGCGACGTCTGCCTGAACATCGCTACCTGATAGCTTGAGCTCTCGTTCCTTGATGTTGTCAACCCCAGCGAAAATAAATCGCATACGCAGTTGTTTCATGAGTGCGACTGACCGGCCTCCCCAGAAACAGCCGATAAGACATGTCTTCTGGTAGCGGTCCCACGGTGGCTCTGTAGACAAGATGTCAACCTCACTATGCGCCAGATACCCTGCAGGTTTCAAGCAGCGTAGCGCCTCAGCGTAAATTAGATCCCATTTGTCGTTCCTAATGTATCCGGCCAGATTTCCGGCGTAAATATAATCGAATGTCTCGTTTGCAAACTCCCAGGGCGTCTCTTCGATATTGCCGATTCGGAACTCGCCGTTATGCGGTAATCCGGCTTGCTGCTCGCTCAACACGTCCATTCCTATCACATGTGCATCTGGGAAGCGCTGGGCATTTTCCCTATCAAACTGTCAATTATGTGCTATAATGATTCCCAAGGCACTTACCCCGCCATGACTCCAGATCCTGTGCCAATGTCGAGAATCCTAAGCGGCCTCTTGACTGGCGCGCTAAGAATCCGATTATTATCGGCCGACCACAGAGCTTGATGGCTATTGAGATTAATATCAGCGAGATAATAATTTCAAGCGACGTACTAATCTATAGATTGAGTAGCCAGATAGCCTGTAGGACTTAGATAGTTAGTATTAAGGAATCAAAAAACGAGCTCTACTTACCAGAATGCAGATCCCTTATAGCTTCGAAAAAGATTCCCATTAATGATACGATCAGAGAATTGACTTTCCTCGCTCAGTATCGTAGCTATATTACAAGCTGTGTTTTTATCGAGGATTAGGCTAATTCGATAACCGGTCTAGGTAGCAGGAGGGTGGAGAGACTCGTAGGCTGCAATAAGGGAGGGGATCTAGCCCATCTATGTATGTCCCCCAAAGTCCTCAGTGAAAGTCTGCCCAAAACTCCGCTGTAATAATTCTGCCCAAAACTCTTACTCGGTCCGAATACGACATTGCAGCCGGAGGGCCCAGCTGACTACAGGTTTCGAGCATTGAGAATAGATTAATATTTTGCTTTTCAATAGCGAGGACAAAGTAGACCGCTAGGTTGTTCCATTTCTCGCAACCGACCCAGCCGGTGAAAGGCTTTTGGCCACGTGAGCTGTGGTCGATAATCGCCCGGATTCTATAGACAGATACAGCCTCAGCCCTGATGAATGCCCCTGGCTTTGCGAGTCGGGTTTGACGAGTCTCGGACGAGGGATCTCATCGTCGTCAGCAACGTGTCCTCCCATCAATGGGTCAAGTTATATTAATTGTGTAGCTTTTTAAGTTCGATCTGTCTAGAGAAGATATATTGCGCCTGGAACTGCCCAAGACTTCCGTCATTGCTCTGCCCTTTCTTGGTCTTCAAATCCAGCAGCTGCCACTGGCCATCGACTTGGCAGATAATGCCGTTGTCCTCGGAATACTTAATCAAGAGATCTTCGACACCAATTTCTTGACTCTGACTCATGTGTTGCCCGATGTGCTCAGTCCATAAGGTCCAGGCATCACGACCATGGAATTCTCTTGAGCAATTTTGACTGGAACAACGCAGATGTTGCGGTGGTTGTGTGGAGCAGGATCTCACATAATTATCTGGAGATTGCCGGTCAATTCTGTGCTCGTGATGCAGGTGCTTTGCGACGTTATGTTTTCGAATTATCTTTGGGCTTTTACCGGTCTTCTGGAGACACACTAGGCATTCGTAGCTCTCCAAACAGATATGCTGCAGTTTCATATGTCTCTTCCATGTATATTTGTTATCAAACCTAGCTTTACAGCCGGCGAATGAGAAACAACATATAAAGTTTCGAGGTTGGTGATATCGAGCATTATGTCGCTGTAGGCTTGAAGTAGATCTGAACCCTATCGAGCAGTCAGGGCAGTATTGTTCATTGGCGTTATCTGGCATGTCGTAGCTAATCGTAGTAGCGGGCTGGAACCTATAAACCGATCCATACAGGTTGTGCGTAGCTGGGTTCGAGTTCTGGTAGCTAGCTGGGTTCGAGTTCTGGTAGCTGTTCCCGCAGGCTGGAGAGGGGACTCCAGACAATGATACTAAGCTGGCAACTTGGCGATTGTGTGCAAGATCTGTCGTCGCGACGAGCCCGCTGTGAGAAGGGGCATGCTCATCGGTCAGTGGCCCATTGCGTAACTGGGCGGCTGCAGAGTTTGTGGTGGTCCAGGGTCGTGGTAACGGAGCGAGAGCTATATCGTTGTTTGTATCGCCTCTCATCATGAAAGTCTTGGCGTTGGCGATGGCAGTCATTCTGGCGAACAGTTGTTTAGTCAAGAAGGTCGAGCCGCTGTGTAATTCGTGGAGAGCTTGAATAAGGCGATCTGTGAAATGCGATGAGTCTGGGGCAGTTTTCTGGCCTGCACTAATTACTTGTCTTAATCCGTGGCTAGACGGCATGGTTTCGGGGACAAAACATGTGTCTAGCAAAAACAGAATATCAGACTGGGCAAACTCGACCAGATAGTAAATAACAGCCCAGTTCAGTTTACACGAGTCATATTGAGCGAATCTATTATCAAGTTAGAGCTAATCATATAGATGCTTATAGCAATAGTATAGCTGAGAACATACGGAGCCCAATATTGACGCCCGGAAGAGTCATAAGACCCATATCCTTTATAGTATATGATATGGAGCTGATCGTGATTCGCTTCGCGGAGAAAAGCCGCCAGCGGTGATGCGAGCATTACACTAGGATTTTTCGTAACTGGAATCTCAAAAGCTTGTGTGCGGAAACCGTAGTTGCTTTCAAAAATCTGCCGAACACGCAGCAGGCTGTCTTTGGCAGGTGAGTCGCCCTGCCAACACAATAAAAGCGCATTAACGTTCTTGTATCCGGCATTTCTTTCGTCGGTAGGGCGCAAATAGCCAGAGAGGTCGCTGAAATCTCGCTTCAAATGGGGGGACACGCCCTGTGGGTATGTTAGTGACAGTACAAGGACAGATCTGTATTGTAGCGGGATATCGCACCAGACTGATGTTGGATGGCGTGGGAGCTGAGCTGTCCGCATGGCCACAGAGTAGAGACTGTATTTTGAAAGACATGGACCGAGTTTGTGAAAATAACAACATTCATGCGGCGGCGATGCTGATAATATACAACTGACAAGAGCAGCCAGTGACTATCCGGGCAGGAGGCCGGGAGCTCTGTCGTGAAGGATGGCGCCGCGGAGAGGGTGGTGGACATTAGTTGAATTACACTGGACCAGGGGTGAGGTGTGTCCATGATACATTCACCATTGCCGCCGAGGGTGGGGTGGCGGAGTCTTGCGCCCGATCCTTTGAGTGCCAGGATCAGCGGAGTAGGTTCTGCTTCCGTACATGCCAGCCTTGTCGCGCCGGTGCTGCGCGTCACAGGTCTTGCAATAGTCAAGTCTTGTGGAACTAAATTGAGAGGGCGCACTTGGTACTGACCCGCTCCCACTGCGACAGACGGGGGGGTGGCAGCATCGTTTGATTAGCGTTCCTCTTGAGGCAGGCGGGCGGCGGCAAGAGATCCCGACGTAGAGTCGATGCCTGTCTGATAGCGTTTCAGTGCCCGTGCAAGTTACACTACTGGTTTGCCAGAACTCCCATATATCGACTTATCATCTGCCGGCGTACGAGAGCCGGCAGTACTGACTACTCTTGGACGCACTGCGGCTTGTTGGAGTCCGTGTTTATCTATACATGACCGGGGATACCAGATCAGCCCGCCATAACAGCGGAGTTCGTGTCCCTTGCCTTGCGCACTATCTTCAGCTCGAGTTGTCGTCTTGGCTTCAAATGCTGACCAAGAGGTGTTCGTTCTGGATAGTCTAACAAGTCGAGTCTATTCAACGCCGAACATTTACACAACCACGGCTTAGTAGTTCTCTTTACAGAAAAAACCGTAAAATAGTGGTTGCCTTCTCTCTCGGACTTAGAATTATGCTTTGCTTGGTAGTGTACAGATATCATTATTCCTCTTTTATAAATTAGAGCTCTGTCACATCGTGCCGTGTTTACTGCTCCTCATGTCAAGCAGAGGACTTCGTTCTCCTTTTCTTGAACCTTGGACACCATAAGCTCCCACCAGGGTTGCCTCATAGCAATGGCGCAGGGCAGTTCCGTGTTTGGTGCGGGCACTGGGACTTCATGGTCCATCCAGCTCTGAATACGTCTCAAAGCTTGATAAAGTGGCGGCACGCTCTGTCGCAGGAAGTTAATTAGCAACTAGCTTGAATGGAGGAGCATGTTTCTCTTATGAATGTTCACACTTACACTGCGAACAGGGGTTTCAATGACGTGCTGAAACCAGGCATCCGCGACTAAAACATGTTCTTCTACAGTGGCTAGTAGCCCGAGGAAGAAGACCGGTAGCAGCGGGGCTTGAGCCGTAAATATAAAGCCTGACGTTGGCATAATAGAAATGCACTTGGCTAAGTCGGCTATGTTGTCAACGACCAACTGATGGTTTCGCGGAAGTCTAAGCAAAGGTCAGCATGTTTTGATGCAAGAGACAGAGGCGCAAGAGTAGGTACGGTACTTACCTAAGTAGGCGGCACTGCAGGTAGACCATTCCAGCCAGCCTCCACGCTTCCGCCGTCACCCCGGTCATCTGTTTCGCTTCTTGAACAACGTAGTTCTCGCCCACCTGGCGAATCCATTCAATCGGTTGCGATCTGTTTTTAGCAGCGTCCCAGCTATCATATTCTCCACTCCATTGTTGCAACTGCATAAGCTGGTCGTAGAGCATCTGGGCAGTCATAGGCACAAAAGGCGTTTCGCATTCTTGTAGTATGCGAGTGGAACAGTAGGCCACCTGGCTGAAGATGTGTAGCAGGCGTTTTGAGAAACCGCATCCACCGTGGATTTCATACATGTCCGACTCAGATCCATATAAGAGGAATCCAAATCTACATGTTTCAGCAATAGGGTCGAAAGTAGCGAGAGACGGGAGGGGCATCATCAGCTGAGCTAAAATGACACCTCTACCAACGATGATTGATTGCGATAGGCGTAGGGCAGAGACCTGAACATTTGACTCTTTATAAAAACGAGAGCCTGGATCCGTGCGCTGAAGCACGTTCTCCGCCTGTGTGAACCCCGTCAACCAGCGAGGCCAGTAGGGTTTTTGGAGCCTGCGTTCCGTGAGAACCACATCCTGCATAGAGAGCAATGACGCCAAGGTGACTAGCTCGCCAGACTCGCTTTCGTCTAGATCGTCTGCATGCTGGAGCAGCTCGCTGAGCCGGGCTTCGGCGATGGCAAACCTTTCATTGACTTGACGCCGTACATTATCACATGGCAGATAATCATGAACATAAACACCAGCGAGGGACTGTATAGCGGCTACAACAGCGGGACGTTGCATGCTGGCGAAATCAGTCAACCATAGGTTGGTTTTTGTCAACACACTTCGCCCAGGACACCAAGTTTGTGTATCTGTAGAGCAGAAGTTAGCGCAGATTTCCCGTGAGATATGACGAAAGCAGAACTTACAAAAACTGAACAGCTTTCTGCCCATGTTGTCCATAAACACATCATGTCCGAGTTGTGGCGGGAGGAGCTGCGGAGCCTTAATAATATCATTCTGATAATATGATCGGAAGCTTGCTGTCGGTGATTGATGATATACGACGATTTGTGACGGCGGCAAGGTTGATGATTTTAGATAGGGTGAGTCGGTTCCTGCCAAGAGAGTGCTGGCGGAGGCCGGTGATGAAAAGAATCGACGCTGCAGCGATCGCTCAAAACTTTGGCTCGATGTCTGTGTAGCAGCGACGGCTGAAGGTGAATCACCGTTATGATCAATACTTGCCACTTCCACAGCTGTTGCTGACTGTTTGCCTTCTTTGAGGGGCCAGAAGAATTTGATATAACCATTGACTCTACCATTGAACGGCCTAGGAAATGTCTGAAGAGAGAATTTGTGACCAAACGAGTCGATACAGTCATGAAATGGGCTGGTCATGGCAAACTTGGAGCGGGGCTTCCGCCGGCACTGTTCTTGGTGGTTGAGTTTGGGTATTAGCGATAGACCGCGGGCCGGCTGTGTTTGAAGTGGTCGCGAAGCAAGCTGTAGCTGAGGCGTAGGTTGCGATTGCTGAGAAGACTGTAATTGTAACGAGGGAGGGGGCGCCGGCGCAGGTTGCCATAACTGTTGCCCTTCTTCGACAGCAAACATAACATGCTGCGGCTGCGAATCAAACGTGGCAGAAATGTCGGCAGAGTTTAGAGCGAAATCTGCACACAAGAGTAATCAGCATCATATTATTAGGTAGGGCCTCTCCATGTCCAGGGAAAAAAGCCTGTGGCTGCGGAAGGCAGACAGGCTATCTTTCCATGTGCGTGCCTTTTAGAGTTTGTAGTCGTCAATCAATAAAGCTAAATTGAACTAGGTGCGGGAACAGGGGCGGGTGGGAACGCCTGGCTGATCAATTGAAACTGCTCATTGACAGACGCACAGGAAGGCCGATTCAGATAATAAAAAGGGGCATGAATTTGCACAGGTAGTAGGTTTGACAGACATACCTGTGTCCCACGGAGCTGGAGGTGTGTAGTTGCTCACATCGATGGAGTCAGGGCTCTGGCTTGGTGTGACCCAGCCGTGGTTAAATAAAGCCAACTCGACGGTGCTGCTCTGGACGTCTGTGCTCATGGCAGTGGCGCCCGGTTCGCCGTGCTCAACAACAGATGAAGCCGGCTGAATGGAGTGGCTGCGCTGGGTCATGGCATGTTGCTGCGAAGCAGAAGAGTCGTCGACGTTTTGCATGTACGGTTGATATGTCTGCTGGCTAATCTTGGGGAAGGAGGCGTCGGCCTGAGGCGTGGACTGGCCGGGCGCAATGTCGCAGACGGGCCCAGACATGGCAGGCTGGGTAGGAGCGCGAGAAGCATCACATATGATGGAGGAGACGCCCGAACTTTCGTTAGCGGGGAGATCGAGCAGGTGTTGGCGTCTTTGGTGCCTTCTGAAGTTTGCGGACTAAAGAGGGTGTCAGTGACTAATGAGGGATGCGGATGTCCCAGTGTGCCATACGTGAGAGAAGCCTTGAGCGCAGTCCTGACACCTAGAAGGTTTCTTGCCAATGTGAACATGATAGTGTTCGTTCAAGTTCTCCCTCCGGGCGAAGCTCTGTCATGAGAGGAGCCGTTAGCAATGATAAGAGTATATTAATGGGCATCGACGAAGAACTCACTTTGCCGCACTCCTTACAAGTGAGGCGGGGGCGGACACGTCCCATTGCGTATGACAGGAGATGAAGTAGTTCAATAAAGGAAATAGGGAGCTGAGGTGAAGAAGGCAAAGACGATTCCTGAAGAAGGCACTTGCTTAATCGTTGATGCGTCTCGGAGAGGGGCGATTCGATAACTGTGTCGAATAGGCAAGGCAACCAGAGTGAAATAAGATGCGGGGTTTATTTTGAATCAGATGGGATATGAGCGCGGAAAAATGATAGCTACTGGCAGACCCTGCTGATTGTGCCAGAGAACGTCCAGGGTCTATTATTTCGAGTGGTTGTTCAAGAGGCCGAGCGAAGCTAGATATCAGCAGCTGCACGCATCTCTTGCACGCGGGGCAGCCACAACGGCCTGCCTCCCACCACTGCAGCAGGGACGTAGCCCGCTAGAACGTGTAAAAGGCTCGTGCAGCTCCTCTGCCCAGAGTGAATGTGTTAGCGTTTAGTATAGTGGGATGGCCTGGTAATTAGAGACGACAAAAGCCAGTATTCCAGCCATTTGAAACTAGCAGTGCGCCACAGTCTGCGCACAGGTACTCGTATGCAGATTCATGCCGGGCTGCAGCTAGTAGGCGGTGGTCCACCCAGCTCGAGTTCCGAAGCTGCCATGGGACGAAATCATGTTGCGTTCGTACACACCGTGCGAGGTGCTCACAAAGAACATAATACAGCACCTAGAGCTATCGTAGCGTTGGGATTGCTGCATATACTACTCCGAGGCAACTTCGCCAAATTGGGGCTCCGCCAATGGAGAGCGGCGATTCGGCCTCCGAAGAGAGCAGCAAAATCTGACACAATTTCGTAGCGCTCCCACGCCGGGAGAGACGGGAAATTTATCCCGCTGAGCTCATAGCTAGTCTAGATCATATGTGACCAACAGTATTCTAAAGCCTCATTCGGTTGGCGAATCTTGGCTTAATTGTGTACTCTATGCCTAATTTGTTCTTAGACTTAATTCCCTCCGCCTTGGCGGCCCTTTCATGTTTCTCAGCATACACAACTGTAAGCGCTAGTTCAAGAAGGAGAATGAAACATTGCTCGTCGAAATAAAATGGAGGCGTCACAATCAGAACCGAAAATATGGTCAAGAAGGAAAAATGTTGCCTGAGCAGGTGCATATACATAGATTAAAAAGATGGTAAAAGAAAAATCAGTAAAGGATGCTCGCTTGCAAGATTGTCTCTTATCATAGTGTATAAGTAGCAAAGAATGGCAAATAACTCATCTGGATGGTGGCTAGATTAAGCGTCACGCAGGCAACATCATTCAGGAGCTGGCATCGACCGAATTTTTCGGTGTTTATGGTGTAATTCCGCTTCGATTATGCCTCTTGGCGGCGGCATGTCGATGCCGTCCAAAAGTGTGCGTGGCGTCGTCTGCGCATTGCCTGTTGGGTAGCTTGAGTTGTTCTAGGAAGTTTCAATGTCCCAGAAGTCCTTTTGGATTCCTTCGAGAATGTGTATGCCGATCCGCAGCGAGCTCGTAGCCGTTGCAGATTAACGCAAAAAGCGAATCGTCTCTGGAAACAAGTGGCGCAGGAGCTTTTCATCAATGTATCTGCCCATGATGGGATCTTTGAACGCAGCAGACAAGACCAGCAAGTTGCCCCATTGCGCGTGCGCAGTGCCAAAGACGTTGGTGATGATAGGCCGCTTCTCGCCAAGCCCATGGAAAGCTCTTGTGCTCTCGATAAGAGCCTTGATGGCTTTCCGAGCGAAAACTAGCAACTGAGGGGCTTCGAATTCGGCGCGGAATTTTACTGAAGGCAGTTGTTCATTGGTCGAATGATTTTCAACAAACGAATGCTGTAAAATCTGCCTCAAGAAAGGCCGATACGTCAGGACTTGAGCTCCCCAGTACTTGGCACGGAGTCTTGCGGATAAAATGTCCGAGGCTGGAGGATCGTCTTCCCTGAAGGCGAAGCTTGGTGCGACCCATTCCATTCCGGAAACCGCATCAGAGACAAAATCGATGTTCTTGAGCGGTATATCCGCTCGGCCGCCTTTGGTCAGGTCTTCTGGCGCGTAAAGCATGCGATGGATGCTGTTGAGGTGCGTTCGCAGGTAAATCTGGCCGAGATAACTGTCGAGAACCGGCTTGAGAAAGCCCTCTAGCAAGCTCATGTTGGGATGCGGAATGTCGTTCTCATAGCACAAGAGGCCTGAAGGTGGAAGAGGAAATTCAGCGAGTAAATCACTTTCCAATTGCAGGCAGGTCCAGAATGCCAACGAAAGCTGATTACACTTGGTATCTTTGATAAACTCTTGCGTGGTTTTGAAACTCTTGAGCTTTTCCAAGCTGGGTTTCATGATTACCTGGAGCTTATGACTGGCCTTTTGTATGAATGATAAGCTCTCCAAAGGTCGCCCGAGTTGACCTTGGAAGAGACCAGCAAAGATGTAGGCATACACGTTCTTCATGTTGTTGTAGGATTCATGGTGGTTGCCCAGGATGTCGGTTGCAAAGGCAAAGTATTCCAGGCCAGGAATGTTCTCGTAATTCTTTACCAATAGTCCCGGTCGAGTATTGCCTGCCAGGGAAGAACGGCGGCTATGATATAGATGATCCTGATTCGAAGGCGAAGCCAAGCTTGATGACTGCGAACGCGACACAGCCCCAGGCGACGAGCTCTTTGATAATGGAGGCGTACCACTGAGATGAAATCTTCCGTTTCCATGAAGCATTGGATCAACCATGTACAGGGCGTCAGGCACATAGTCTCGATGCTGGCATACTTTCCCGAGTGCCAATACGGTCAGGACGAGCGCCGTATTTATCGTTCGATCTAGTCGACCTATCCCGGGGGTTGATGATGCCGCTGATGAGATCTCTGTAATGTTCGGCGCCGGGGATGGCTTCTTGCGCGTCGAACCAGTAGACTCCATAGAGCTGCTAACGTTCCAAGCCGTGCTGAGCTTGTTGCTGTATTGACTTCTTGGTAATGGAAGAGAATCGAGGAACTGGCGTACCCATTGATGAAGTATCCGAGGTTGCACGATTGGATGCATGTTGAGAATTTTTTCCTCGAATGTCTTGACATATGACCATATCTTGGCCTCGGAAAAGTCAGGATCGTCATCGGGGCCGAGAATAGCGCTTCGATGACCGACCTGATCATATAGGCTAGAGCAACCCACAGTACCCCAATCCGCCGCTTCGGTCGCCGTGGAAGCTGATGGAGAGTCGCAAGAGACGCCAAGCATGTCAACACTTTGCTGGTCATGTTCGCGTTTGCGCTTCTTTCGCGACATTCTGTTGTCCTCGCTACGCCCGTACGAGATCAATAAACATCGATTTCGTTCTTGACTGATGGGATATTCTCCCACATAGCCCACGCCTTCCCGTTCAAGGTGATGCTTTGTCAACTCTTGAATAGAGGGCCAGTTCAGTAAAAGACCGGCTGGCGTGATGTGGTTCATAGGGATGGCAGGCTCGCTTAGAGATGACGGAGGGCCGGGCTTGGTCTCGACTTCGTCCTCGGGCCAGATCGTTTGGTCTGGACCCGCCGCGACGGCGTCTTGCGATGAGGACTTGGTGACTTTCTCTTCGGTGAACGATGTATCCCCTGTCTTGTGCTGATCGTCCGTCGTCGGCTTCCCCCTAGCCGCCGGGTTCAGTTTGAGATTTGCATCAGCTTTGAGCGCAGACTCAATGTTTGTGAGGCGTTTGTTCATCTGAGCGACTAGTTCAGTAAAGGTGGTTAGCTGAGGTTGCATCATGGCAAGGCATTTGAGGATTTCAGAGTGAGTTTTGTCGGTGCTGCAATTCAGCGGTCAGTATATATAGCGTCGGGCTCAATGGTACTGACGATCTCAGCGGCGGATCGGAATATTCGCAGTTGAGTCCGCTGTTTTCACATTTTGTACATGATTTTTTTTCATCGCACTTCGCTTTCAGTTGACGACACGATTCGCAAGCCTAGTGGACGCTTAGCAGAACCGATAGACTAGCTGAAAGGGCCAACTTGATACCTGGGAAGCTCTAGTGTTCTTTTTCTTTGCTGGGACCACACTTGAGAGCGTTTTCAAGCTGCCATCCATCGGTTGACCTCCAGCAGATGTACTGTAGGAAGGTTGGCCCTGGTTTTCGTCTGCTTGGCGAGGCTGCATGAATGCTGAAGGCTCAGGGTGATGACAGTTCGAAGACGTCGCGGTAGGCTGCGACGTATATTTGTGGTTGACATGGTGCTGAGGCGCAGAAGAATAGGCATTCGGATGAAGAGGAGGTGCGGAGAAATGCGATGCAGAGCCATGGCTGCCGTCGAGGCCATGGCTGGCCGAGTCCGGGCCACGGTTGTCTTCGGGGCCTTCTCTCTGTATGAAGGAGTCTCTTGAGGAACATGGAGGGTAACGCGGTTGCGCTGGTGAGTGAGGCGGCAGCTGTTGCGGCTGAGTCTGCGGAGGGTGATAGTGGTCATGCATGGGAGCAAGAGCCTCTTGAACGCGATCTTGATGGTCGATGTCAGGATGGTGCATAAGACCATGCCCGGGAGTGGACGGAAGGCTTGTCGGGTACGGGAGTGGATGGGACTGCTGGCCAGCGGGAGCGGAGGAAGGATGCTGATGAGATGGCGGTAGCGGATGATGCGTGCGCAAGGGCGCAGACATTGTGATTGATATCAAGAGGTCAGATGAGTCGACCTAAAGAACAGGTAAAGATGAACAAGATTATCGACCATTCGGCCTTCACAGAACTAAATCCCCTTGTTGATGCTGGGAGCAAGCTGCATGCCAAATAACACGTTGTGGCACTAACAAGAGAGGAGAGCAGGTTTGAAATGAACGAAGAATGAAATAGAAAGCATAACAGAAGAAAAAAGGCAAGGTACATTCAATGCCGCTTCAGAAAAGCAAGCTTACTGGGTGTGGTGCGTTTGTTTTGTATGCCTGTCAGGTAACTCTCTCCCCAGCAAAAATTAACCCCTGTCTGATGAAATACATCTTACCTGTAGATACGTCGCCCCCCTTGTCGGTACCAGCCTGGCATACAAGACTTACCCATCTCACTCAGTATACGGCAGATCCAGGGTATATCCTGTGACTTTGCAGTCATGGAGCTTCTCACACAACCTCTCGCTTCGTAGCCCAAGCTGCAGCGCTAATACACGATGAATCATTGGCTGGTTCTCACTTGTTCTCGCAGACGTGTCGGATGTGACGAGGGCTACTTGTCACCTAGGCAGCCACTCGCAGGGCCAATTACTCATGCCAATTGGGCTACTCTGGGGCTGATATCTTGCTCTCATAATCACAACTAGATTAGAAGCTGTATTCTCACTAGAGGTCAAGGCTATCAGAATTGACTCGTCAGGGGTTTTGGACGCGGGCGAGATGGGAGAGACTTGCAGGGTGCTATAGAGGGGACTCCGCACATATATGTATTTAGCACCTATGGGTCGCTGTTAACTGGGCCCCGCACAGCTAGCTACTAAGCGCTCGGTGACGAGAGATAGTATGCATAAGGAGAGTAAGTATATGCAAGGCAGGCTCTTTTGTTCGCTATATTTGTATTTGTCTCAGACCTTCGCTGATCTGGATCATATGTGACTAACAGTATTCAAAAGCCTCATTCGCTTGGCGAATCTTGTATTGATTGTGTACTCCTAGCCTAATTTGCTCTTGGAGCTTGGCTTTCTCCGCCCTGGCGGCCCTCAATTGTTTCTCAGCATACACAACCGTCAGCACCAGTTCAAAAAGGATAATGAAACATTGCTCGTCGAAATGAAATGGAGGCGTCACAATCAGAACCGAAAATATGCCTAGCGCAGCAGTCAACGCCCCAGCGAGCGCATTCAGCAGACCAAGCATAAGACAGCGACGTCGACTCCAAGCCTGCTTGCATGTTCGAACCGATTGTATAAAAAAAGCAGCCGCACAAGTCAAGTAAATCCAGCCCGGAAAGGCCCATAGCGCAGCATACCGCTGTTGCCAGACACTGACCCCGACCCAGACTACTGGCAAAATTGATATGCAGGCATAGTACGCGATGAGCGTCTGTGGACGTAGAGCTTGATTGAAGACATGCAGCTGGGATTGTCAGCGTAGATAGCTATACGGTCGTAAAGAGCAGCATACCTTAGAGACAATGAGACACAAGACCATTATTGCTTTCCAGATGACGCTGGGAACGCGCGCCCGCGAGTCGCGGCTGCGTGCGATACCAAACCACAATGAGCATAGTATGCTACCAATGACAAAAATACATAAGAGGACGAGAGAGATGTGCCAGTACCAATTCTCCCCGCTAGGCTTGGCCTTGAGGTGACGCCAGCGCTGATGAACGATAGCGATATACAAGAGAATGCCAAGCACACAGATAACACCATTTTCTATGGCGTCTGCTTTTGCGTCGAACTGCTCCATGTTGAGGGCCAGGGAGGACTGCACGAAAGGACGTTTCTGCCCGCGAATCACTCGCCTACTATATAGGACTATTCTCGACCCCTGCAATCGAATTCGAGCTGATAACTGAAGACATGTCGGCCACGATAGTGGAGAGCCAAGAGCCCCTCAGGTTTCCGTGCTTTTGCGCTGGCCCAGTATGGCTTTATCTGTATGCTTTTGGTCTAGCGTAAAGCGCCTGAGGATTCCGCGGCCTTTTGATTGGTGCAGGTCCCCATAAATAGGCTTGGAATGGCCTTCCCCGACATAGCATGAGCAGTAAAAAGTGGATAGAAAATGCAAATGCATTTTTTACCCACTTCTTTATCCCCTTCTACCGTGTCACGTGCTTTTCGCGCCTCCCATGTTGCTTCAGTCCAACTTTCCATTTACATGTCATGCAGTATTTCAGCATGATGCAAAGGTTCTCCAAAATGCAAGTGCTCAATAACGCAGAGTTCTTGCCGAAGTTTCTCAGCGATTACTGGCCGCGGTTCTCTAAAGGCACGAAACTGGCTTTTCTCCGCTACACCGCCGAGCTACTTCCCCAGCTAGAGCCCGAACTTTTCCACCAAAGGCTACACGAGCAGGCCGGCTGCTTCTCTCATGCGTTTCCCACGTCTTTGAAGCTTTTTCCAACTATAGCATCGGGGCAAACATCGGAGCCATTTTCAACAACGATTCCCCAGCAAAACACCCACAGACAGCAAACGCTTTCAAAAGATGCGCCGCCAGCCACGTTATCTTCGCCGCAAGTGTCCCGGCAATCCAGCCCGACAGTGTCGCTGTCAACTACTCTGTCCTCGCCACGAGTCTCCAGACAACTTAGCCCGACAGAGTCGCTGTCAATTGCTCTATCCTCGCCGCGAGTTTCCCGGCAATCTGTCTCTCAACAGTCACTACGGACCACTGTGAAGCCGCCGCGACGGCATCGTGGGCAGAAGTGCCTTCCTCGTACACTGGAGGATGTGGGAGAAGTTCAAGCCCTCTGTAGATACACTGCAGAGTTATTCTTTTCCCGTCGTCGAACCGCCGGTTCAGACCTCTACTCTGCCTTGAAGAGTTGTGATGATGAGACGAAACTCTCCCAAATCGAATTTCGGGCACGCTGCTTCGGTCTTCGGCACCTTCAGCTTTATTTGACCAAAAACGAGCAACGATCGCAATCCGACCAATTCACTAAACAAACGGCGAAAGCCGCAATTATGGATGCCGTGGCCCATCATAACCCGACTGTAAACAGATCAGAAATCACAAGCAACGTTGACCGGTTTCTCTTATGTGCGAAGAATCTCCAACGTGTCCGGGACAAGCATTCACTCAGCGCTGTCTTCTTGCTAGACGCCGGGTGCCGTTCTTAGTGAGTATATTCGACGTCCATTGCGCAATAGAACACTAACAAAATAGTTATGAGCAAAACCGGACGAAGGAGGTTCTCGATAAATTTGATAACAGACTGAGACATGACGGCGCGAAAACGACTGTTCAAATTGGGGAACTTGCGGAGGATGACCCTTGGAAGAAGCTCGAAACAACGGCCTACGAATATCTGAAATACATATTTGACGAGTTTGTGAAATGGTTTTATTGCAGCAATATGACTCCCCCTGCGAAAAGGCTGAAATTTTCGAATCAATCTCAACCGCCAACGGAGGCAAATTACGAGGCACAGCCTGATGAAGCAGACACTATCCCCACCTTTCGGACAGACAACTCAATGTTACCACCAGGCGATCTCAACGCGGGCGGCGGATACGCACCCGCAAACGATGCGGCACAAGACGATAGCACCCGCAGTTGCGTTGATGACTTGCGCCTTGGCATTCCCACCGACTACTTCACGCTGGATAACATGCCATCACCATATCAAGAGCTCACATCAGCCAACGTTTACGCACCCGCAAACGATGCGGCACAAGACGATAGCACCCGCAGTTGCGTTGATGACTTGCGCCTTGGCATTCCCACCGACTACTTCACGCTGAATAACATGCTATGACCGCAAAATGAGCTCAAATGGGACGACGATCCCGCACACAGCAGACCAATTCAAATTGAGGAGGAGATGCGTATCAGAGAACCTTCTTGCACTAAATCGGCAAACGAGTCCTTCATCCTGACCTTCGCTTGCTCTACCGTTCTACTTTGAATTTTAACAAGAACAAGTAGATATCCTCATCACTTTCCAACCTCCAATCCTTGGTCAGGATGGGCGCCTCGTTTCTCGGCCATTGGTAGGGGATGTCGGCAGGCGAGCGAATCTGGGCATAGTGTTCTGCTTTTGAATCCGCCAACTCGATCGCTAGTACAGCATCGGAATCCTTCACGTCGAACCTTCGGGCCTTGGTCGTCATGCGTGTGACTTCTACTCTTCCGGGTGGCAGGTGAAGCTGTCGTAGCTCTTTCTGTGTCCTAGTCAGTGTCTGCATGTACGAGGATAAGGGAACAACACACCATCAAAGTTTCTCGTGACAGTGATTCGTATAGCCTTTTGCTTCTTTCGGGGTCGAGAACTTCACCCTTGGATTCTTTGTTCACCGTTTCTGCCATCTCCGAAACAAGTGTGACTTGGTCGTCCGTGAGGGCTATCGTACGGTACATTTTGTTTTGGGGCGTCAAAATCGTATCCGCGGGGCCAACAGTATCTTGGACCCCTCCGGAAGAATGATAAGCCGAGTCGACTCCGGCTGCCCCACCCATGGGGACACTCATGGTCAGCAGTTAGCAGGGAGAAGTTGAGAAAGTTAGATGAAGCGAGGACGATACCGGGCATGTGACATTATAAATACACAGGAGTACGCCTGACGGCCTGACGTTTGCTTCTCGGCCCACAAGGCTGTTCGCTGGTGAAACAAGGGTTCAGTCCAAACCATGTCTGCCCTGGGTCTGCGTGGTGGCGTGCATGTCCAAATCAATCGCTGGCCAGCCAGGAGCAGTAACGGGGTCAACATGGCCATCCCGGAGCATACCCGGAATCTCCAAGATAGTTTCTGCCAAGAATTATCATGAAAGACGCGATCTGCATCGGATACTTGTTGTTGGATGGTGCAGAAAGCGGCGAGATTTATCTTTACATTCACAGCCACACCCAAAGCTCAGAGAAACAGAGCTCCTTGCTAGCAACTCGAGCGATGTGCTACACAGCTGCTAGAAATTGGAGCGTTTGATCCGCTGGTCGCTGATGTCCGATGGCCGCCCATCCTGGTCGAGCTAGGATGAGACAGGGATTGGGCGTGCAGGTGGTCGGCAATGACCGCTACGCTTTTTTCCATTCCGGGTGCTCTTGAACTCCCGGCGGTGCGGAAGAGCATGCAATACAAATGCCTTCTGATATCCACTTTTATCACCTACATACGACTTGGGTTTTCATCATACTGTCCGCCACATACAATCGGACCTTCACAGTTCCGAGTTACACTACCTCGGCCGATCCTGTACTGGACCATATAAGTACACCGCTGCGAGATTGGGAGTTGCCTTATATATGGGCGTTCTAGAATAAATTCCCCCAGAGATCCCGAAAGCATGTCATTAACATATGTCAAGTTTTCACGACGTGTCGTGAAGTAAGCTTACATCGAACATGAATCACAATAGCTTTCGGTTTCTCCCAGCTCGCCTAATTTCAGATTCTGAATTGCTTTCTCAGTGTGAACGCTCACATACAGACTTCTTCTTGTCGGCAAGTGAGACTCATGTTTGTCCAACAAACCGAGGGAACCTGCATACGAGTACTCGTGCGGGAACTGTGGCGCACCACTAATTTCAAACGCCTGAACACTGGCTTTTGTCGTCCTCAGTTACCCAGGCGATCCCATTATCCCTTAGGATGTGCGACGGCCCCAGAGGTCATTCCCGGAGCCGCTTGATAGTATTGAGAGTTCATCGACGGCATCACCAACTACCAGAATTGCTCGACCAAATCGAGCGATATATACGGCGCTCGTGCTGACGGTTTTAGCACTCGGCAAGATCTGCCTGCATCGAGACTATGTGCCGGATGCCCTTCATGTGGATGATCCGATGCCCCACAGACCATTTTACCTGAATGGTATCCTTCAGTTGCCCAAGAGCTCGCCGCCCAGCGAGATGCGCTCGCAGCCGTCAAGTATGGTGTATCCTCGTGAACAGAAACGTCCATACCATGGTCGCCGTTCATCTCTAGCGGGCAACACTCGTTCGGGCTTGCTGAAGAAGAACTACGAGAATATCCCTGGGCTCGAATACTTCGTCAATGCGCAGGGCCTTCTCTTTCTCCGGCTAGGGGACACAGAGACCGGAACATTGCGATCTGCAGATTGCTGGAATTGTGATAGAGGATACGTACAGATTCTCTCTAAAACGATCCTTCTTTTGACTCTTAGATTACGAGAAACTGTTTCGAGACAGAAGAAGCTTGGTAATTTCGTAGTTACGTAGAAGTTGTCCCCCCCGGGTCGGAGGAAATGCATGAGACGGCACGGTCATTACGCAGCTGTTTCCCTGTGGTCTCGCGAAGATGGATCGGCGCGTGAAAGGACTTCTGAATACTATTATCTGGTCTAGCTTAGGCCCCCGCCCACCCGCCAGCAGTGGCTCCTGCATGTGGCTGTTCTTCGAGACGTTGCGGTGACTTCGTCCGATTCATTTCGGTCGTGCGGGCCTCGCCGGCCTTGTCCGTCGCCACCACTATCCGTGGCCACTTTCTGGTCACGATGGCTGCATCATGCAAGGCAGAGAGTAGTCTTGTCGAAAGTCGTTGGCACGCAGCCCGTTATCCGCCGGGTGCAGGCACTCTGGGCTGAATTTACAGAAGTGCTTGAGCCGGGGAGAACTAACAGAACACACCTGCTTGCAGGTATCCGACTCCGCCACCAACCCTCGGTGGCAATGATGAATGTATTCTTATGGACACACCTCACTCCTGGTCTAGTGTAATTCAGCTAATGTCCACCACCCTCTCCTGGCGCCATCCCACACGGCAGGGCTTGTGCGATTATAGACGGAGCACCCCTCCCCTGTGCAGCGCCGTGCCGACCTATTGCCCTGAGAGTCACTGCACGGCTACAGCCTCTTGTCATTGTATATAAGAACACTCGAAGACGGAAAGCCGACGGCTTATTAGCAACAACCAAGCTTCGCATACCGCAATCATGCCCTGGAGCTGGCCGCGCTGGCTCAAGAGTGCCGATACAAGACGCCGCCTTGAGCTTTTCCCGGGCATATCTATGGAAGCTGGCCAGCACCTCCAAGAAATCATCTGCCAGTTAGACGATAACGATTTCCGCCCTCCAGTGGTCAAGTCCCGTGATGTTTCGCCTTCTGATCGCTCGATCTCCATTTATGTCACCGATGAGAGTCGTTCCGAACACTTCGATGACGTGACGGAAATGCCGAATTTCTACGATATATCAGTTTCAATTTCGGACTCGACGGTTCTAGACTATTATCGAATAATGCATTTTCCAGCACAGTCCAGGTATTGGATTGCAGTATCACGAGATGGTAGCTTGGGATATGACCATCTACGGACAGTAATACGTTCTGTGGCGAGAGAAAGGGATAAAAAGGACTGCAACCCCCGCGGGTGACCCTTCAAAGAGACGGCGACCAACCCGTGACGAGAACAAAACGCAGGGCTATGTGAGCGATGATGAGTCGGAGTCGGAGGAGCAAGATGTGCTAAGGGGAAGGAAGAGACGACGATAAGACAACTTTAGCTTTGATGGCTACGTCACGCATTTCAATAGTCGCGGGTTTCTGGCAAAATTTGAATGGGAGCTGCAAAAATATGTCGGGCTCGCCTGAAGTTTCTGTCTAGAGTACTAATTCAGTGCTTTTCCTATGCTCCTGCCGTCTTGCTACTCGGGATTACTAGCACCGCCACCTGGAAGGCCTTCCCCTGACGGCGTAATCGCCGACAGCCACTTCATAGTAGACCAGAACTCTCAAGTCGGGCCAGATTTCATCCTGTACATCATTTTGAAAGGCTACTATATCGGCAGCGACGTGCAGGCAATGGTAATGTGCCTGCCATGCTCCTCCAACGTCTCACTTGTGATGACAGCATGTTGCCGGGAAATATTGCAAGTGAGGGGGAAACATTGTGTATGATGGCGGTGGAAGCCCTGCAACGAGGTGGTTGAAGTTGGCTGATGCCACTTCGTCGGAGGGGTGTGCTCCGAGGAGGGTGCTGCCACACTTAGCACTGGAGAGTAAGCTTCGAACAGGCTATAAGGTCACTAGTTGTGAGTAAAAGCACCACCTAAGTACTGGCTGGACCGGCTTGCCTCGACCCTGGAAAGGTATGTCCCCAGGTTAAAGGCTGCGACGAGCGGTGTAGCCAAGGTCGGATGTGTTTGCGCGCAGAGCTACCGGGGATCCAGACAAGTCAAGCATTCGTGGACATAGCCTGATATCATCACCAATCTGCTCTGTTGGCTGGTTTGCGCACCAATTTCTGTCCGCGCTGTAGTTTTGACTCAATTGCTGACCAAGACTGTCAAGATCGAGACTTTGAGTGACAGGGGTGTAAGCTTTCCCCATCCCCATGGCGGACCCCACTTGGTCTGTGGGCGCGACCAGGTTGGTCGGTGGTACCGCCTATCACCCGGG